GAAGGTTCACATGTGCAAATGATGAACACAGACCAGTGATATTGCTTTATCATGAAAGAAAATAGAACACCTGTACGCGATCCATGTAAGACCTCAAAATGTTATCTTCTCATTATCGTCGAGAAGTGCGAGACACTGAACACGGCTGGTTGGCACGAGGTTGCAAGTATTTGACATGCCAAACACGATGTAAATGCAGCGCGGATGTGGGAGTTGTGTGTGAGTCATAAAGGTGACAGTTGGCTGTAGGGTGTTGTAGGGCTAGGATTGCACTTGTGGTTGAACGTTAACGCAGACGCTCGTTTATTTTCTGAGTTCTTGTTCCTCCAAAATGTCCCTGTCGAAGACTGGATTGACTATAGTATCAGTATGACAACAATGATAATTAATGGGAAAATATGGGGTACATTCCAGTGGGATTAAGCTATCATCATGCAAAGAGTGAGTAGGATCTGGTATGGACACGATAAGACATCACACTTGCAGTGTCGTTTTCCCATGTCACTCGGCTCCGTATTCGAGACGGACTTTCCCGTCGCTTCTGACTGAGACAGCTGTCCGCAAGCCAAAGAAATGATGAACCGCTTCGTTGAAAATGGTAAGCATTCATAGCTACAATCATTGAATTGAATTTGATACTCTCAAGGCCCGTCACAGATTAAGTCGCAAATATCCTTGCTATGCGTGTCTTTCGTTCCTGGAATGACCTGTGTTGAGCGGCTGATTGAAAGTGTTCATGAGGTTTTCTTCCACATCCCCGCCGACTTCGTCGTGCGAGGATAGATTGAGTTTCCCTCGTTCACTCGGACCTGTTCCGAGTCCAGTACATCAATATGCATCGATGCACGTTGCCATGGTGGGACAGACACCAATCGAATGGAACGAGCTACAGATGCACCCAGAACAGTATCGTGCGGTTCCGTTGAGGCTTAGACTCCGAGGAAAAAGGTGGGCAAAACAAGGTATGTTCCCCCCTTGTGGAGTCGTTTGTCTTGTTTGGATGCCGACGGTAAGTCACGTGATATGTCGGAGGTTCGATCCATTGCTTTTGGCTCAAATTGGAATTAGCTAAATCTGTTCGATCTTTGACATCTTGTGGATACACTACAATTTCAAAATCGTCTAGAATGCTGATTTTTGGCCAATCGAAGTAGACATTTTTGTAGTGTATTTACCCTTGTGATATAAGCTTGTGTCTGTCACATTGGCGGTGCCTACTTGTCTCTCATGTTTTACATTAGATCATAAAAACACATGCTCAGCTTGCTACAGACTATCTGCACCTAATCATAAAGCTCGCATTCGTTCGACATAATTTCGTGACACCGCACTGGTTGCCAATAATTGTCATTAGCTTGCACTAGATTATCATTCCTAGAGCTAGCTACCATTAATTTTCGCACCCGGCGAAATCTAACTAAAGTTGTAAGTTTACATGGGAGAATTCTCCTGATACGAAAGAAAATTATGGGACCATTCCCGCTCGAAAACCAAAAGACCAAATTACGCAAACATATCCTCCTCGCTCGCATCCCGCATCCCACACGCCGCCCACATAACAGAAACATTCAAATCATCTACACCATCATTCTTCGTGCCAACAACCCCATTCGACTCATACACCGACTTCGTCATACCAAGGGTCACTTTAATGGCTGGAGCCCCGGGTGCGTACTCTTCGAGCTCCGAATCTAGGTTGTCCCCATCTGTAATCCCAGCTTTCTCATTTCGAGAAATGAGGCGTAGGATATTGCGGGCAGCAACCTCCGCTTGATAATATGATGTATGTCCAGCTTTTATCGCATCGAACGCGTCTGCTGCATCGCCCACGACAAAGATGTTGGAGTACAAAGTCTTTTGGCATAGGTGGGACTCCACCAGGGTATCCGTGGATGAGAGGGGCGACGTCGAAGGTATGTCGGCATGTGTGCTAGTTGGCGACGATGGCGACGACGACTCTGACCCTTCTTCTGCATCAAGAGTCAACTTCTTTAGATAATGTAGGGCATCATCTGCCTGAAGCTTGTGAGACTCAGAAGGTGGTGGGACGCAAAGTTGCATAGTGCGCAGAACATGTGTCAGTCCAGTGTCTGGTGATACAGCACGAGGGTCCATGTCGCGAAGGAGCCCCGTGTTCGGTGTTTGACCCGTGCAAAGGAGCTAATGATGGTCTCATTTAGTTTGTTGTTCCTCGTTAATCTGGAAAACCTACCAGCAGGTCGGCAGGTATTTCACGCCCTGATAGAGTCTCTACTACACGTGGTTCTAGAGACCCTGGCATAGATTTGTGTTGGAGAGACTCAAAATCAAGTCGCTCTCCAAGAATAACCCGAACGTTAAGCTCCTGCAAACCCTGAAGGGCTGTATCATCGCTGAGTTAAAAATCACTTAATAGACAATACGTAAGACTCACCCTCTTCATGCATCGCTTCATCGAACTTTGGCAATAGACGACGACGGGAATGCAGAAGCGTGACGCGCTTTTGTGGGTATATAGCAGCGATGTCGGATGCGAACTCTATATATAACTGTGAAACGTGTCTTCCGTGATGTAATGACGTCACTTACGAATGCCAAGCGCACCGCCGCCTACGATCAACACAGACCTGGCAGCCTCGACACGTTTCTGTCGTTCTTGCAGGGATGAGATACCCTCCGACTTCGTTCCTCCGTACGTTGATATTGCTGATGGTTGCAAACTCGACTTTACACCTTTCTGGTGATTCCAAAGGTCTATAGGCTGGGGCAAGTGGGAGCCGAGAGCATAAATGGCATAGTCATACTCCAAGTCCAAGTCTGATTCTTGTGATCCTGGCAGATTCGGAGAGAGGGTGATGCGATGTTCGTCTATGGAGGTGATAGTCGCTTGCACCCGAACGTGAGATGTACATGAAGGAAGATCTGACAGGGAACTAGAAGTGATGTTATTGATATTGTACGGAATAACTAAGGGCAACAAAGTTAGTATCTGTCCAGAGTCAAGCACGCGGATCGAGTGCACACTTACACGCTTTGTGTTCGTGACCAGCAAGAACAGCATATCTAGAAAAGTTGTAAAAATCTGAAACGCAAAATGAATATTCATTCCGAGCTCGAAAGTAGCAAAGTTCTCACGATTCCTATGCCTGAGGACATCAGAGGTTAGCGGAACGTTCATTGAATCTGAAACCAGGACAACGTACGAATTTCTATCAACCAAAACAACTCTCCAACCCTGTGGTATGCCCTCTGCAAGAAGGTGAGCAGCTCTTGAACCTAGACGGTGATTGGACGAGGGTCAATGAAACCCAATTTCAACACCGCTCGTGTTGAAAACACACCTCCGTAGGAACCGCCTAGGACGACGACCGTCTTTGTAGGAAATTCTGTCGCAGACAGATGAGACGCCTTTGTAGCAACGGACATGATGCAGGACTTGGAAAAGATACAGTTATAAGTTACTACTTGACAGGTCTTGTACAGGTGAGGAAAATATATCGTTCGAACACGAGTCTGATCTGTTGAAGGCCCCGAGTTTATATATTGTGGATCTCCATTGTGGTACCAGTGCAGATAATTGTACTAGTTGAAATGTGGCGGACTCGGAGTGATGCAGGATGTTGCACAGCTGGGTGGGGGCTCAGTTAGTGCAATCATTCACGCACACGTTCAGTCGCTGCCAGGAAACCAGCCATCAGTATCGTAATTTGATCTTAATTTCCGCGCGCGCATTGGATTGAATTTGTTTTCCCAAAGTCATCTGAACGATATAATCTATTTCAGACGAAAGGTCTACCCCAAGTGCCGGGCGTCTGAGTTGCCAGTATGATGTGCCTTGTCACCGCAGTCGGTTCACTGCCCCTAGCATGAGATTTGTGCTGAACTTCGACTTTCAGATGACTTGGTCAGTTATACGTGACATCGCAGTCTATGTTGTTCTTGTACATGTTGGAATCACATGACTCATCACCAAGGAATGACTGTCTTCCTTCTATATAGTCTGACTAGTATTAGGAGAGACTGACATAACTATCCGAGGAGGTTTGAAATTTGGACACGGTAGTAGCGGCTATCATAGACCATGCCTGGGCGGGGACCTGACTCGTTCTACTAGTAGGACGGGCCTTACCCGATACCTGTACGGTGCAGTCTGAGTAGAAGAACTATGTATGCATATGAACAACCGATCATACCGCATCTTTCAAAACCATAGCCAGCGTCTCATCCGCGCATTCTAATATTAGTTTTGACGAGCGTCTATCAAGGACGTCCCAATGATCGAACTTCTATTGTGTCGCAGTGCCTCTTTGAAAATTTTAAAGTTCGTTTGTATGTGCTTACCTGTTGCCATCTGTGCCAGCGTCTGGCTCGCATCATTTCATTCTTCATCGGCCGTAAGCGTTATGCTGAAATTACGCCTGCGCATTATTCAACTGGCGTTATTTCCGAGTCAGTCGGTCGGTAGTAAGACCAGTATATGAAGTTACTTATGCCTGAATGACTGTGCTGATGTGATTATGCGCCACAAGTTCGTGCCATAGTAATACATCAAAACAGGGCAACTGTAGTGGACCTGTGTTCTAAAATCAGTGCAAGCGCAATACCTTTGATGTATCAGGCTGTCACCAACGCATTGCAATAGCCATGGTGAACTTTGTCGGCTACAACACAGCCATTTCCGGTCTCGACCTGAACATTTCCCACGCTCCTCTCCTACTCGCCATCATACCACATCCACTTATCTACTGTAGGGAAGTATCAGCATAGGTTATGGACACACAATAGGCCACAATTGAACGCATTTTTGTCGATTTTTATCCCAATAACACCAAGTCACTGTTTCCCTTTAATGTATTTGTAACCACCGTTGAATTTCATCACGTGTTTTTGCGTCATAAACATTTCATTATTGGAAACAGCAGACCAAGTAACTAGAGCGGGCCGTAGCCGAGCCGTGGCACTACTACCTGAGGCTGAGGTTGAGGTTGAGGCAAGTAATCTAGGTGCAATTTAAAACCATAGTCTCATTGTTTTCAACTTGCCACTGCCACCCATCGAAAAACAATAGCAAACATATTTTACTGCATGCAGTCGGTACGAACAAATACTATACGGAATGGGACGAATGCACGAAGCGCTTTCCCGCCCACAAACCGAAACATCAGTTATTCAAACATTTCCTCCTCGCTCACATTGCGCATTCCACGCGCCGCCCACATAATAGCAACATTCAAATCTTCCACACCATCAGTTTTCGTGCCCACAACCCCGTCCACCTCATATACTGACTTCGTCATACCAAGGGTCACTTTTATGGCCGGGGGCCCAGGCGCATACTCCTCGAGCTCCGAACTTAGGTCGTCCCCGGCCGCAATCCCAACTTTCTCATCTTGAGAGATGAGGCGTAGGATATTCCGGGCGGCAACCTCCGCTTGATAATATGATGTATGTCCAGCTTTGATCGCGTCGAACGCGTCTGCTGCATCGCCCACGACAAAGATGTTGGAGTACAAAGTCTTTTGGCATAGGTGGGACTCCACCAGGGTATCCGTGGATGAGAGGGGCGACGTCGAAGGTATGTCGGCATGTGTGCTAGTTGGCGACGATGGCGACGACGACTCTGACCCTTCTTCTGCATCAAGAGTCAACTTCTCTAGATAATGTAGGACATCATCTGCCTGAAGCTTGTGAGACTCAGAAGGTGGTGGGACGCAAAGTTGCATAGTGCGCAGAACACGTGCCAGTCCAGTGTCTGGTGATACAGCACGAGGGTCCATGTCGCGAAGGAGCCCCGTGTTCGGTGTTTGACCAGTGCATAGGAGCTGATAACGTGCTTATTTAGCTCCCTGTCTCTCGTTAATCTGGAAAAACCTACCAGTAGGTCAGCAGATATCTCCTGCCCTGATAGAGTCCGTACTACGCGTGGTTCGGAAGATCCCTGCGTAGCGGATGTGCATTGGAGAGACTCGAAATCAAGTCGCTCTCCAAGAATAACCCTAACGTTCAGCTCCTGCAAACCTTGAAGGGCTGTATCATCGCTGAGTTGAAATCACTTAATAGACAACACACAAGACTCACCCTCTTCATGCATCGCGTCGTCAAATTTTGGCAATAAACGACGACGGGAATGCAGAAGCGTGACGTGCTTTTGTGGGTATACCGCAGCGATGTCGGAAGCAAACTCTACACATGATCATCAAACGCGTCTTCCGCAGTATAATGACGTCACTTACGAATACCAAGCGCACCGCCACCTACCACCAACACGAACCTGGCAGCCGCCACGCGTTTCTGGCGTTCTTGGAGGGATGAGATACCCTCCAACTTCGTTCCTCCGTAGGTTGGTATTTCTGGTGGTTCCAAACTCGACTTCACTATGCCTTCTTTTTGGTGACTCCAAAGGTCTATGGGCTGGGGCAAGTGGGAGCCGAGAGCATAAATGGCATAGTCAAAGTCTAAGTCCAAGTCTGATTGTTGTGATCCTGGCAGATTCGGAGAGAGGGTGATGCGATGGTTGTCTATGGAGGTGATAGTTGCTTGCACCCGAACATGAGATGAACATGAAGGAATGTCGGACAGAGAACTAGTAGGGAAGTTATTGTATGGAATAACTAGTAAAAGAGGTGTCAATGTCTGTCCAGAGTGGAGCATGCGGATCGAGTGCACACTTACATGCTTTATGTTCGTGACCGGCTAGAACAGCATATCTAGGGAAGTTGTAAACGTCTAAAACACAAAATGAGGCTTCTTCCGAGCTCGAAAATAGCAAAGCTCTCACGATTCATATGTCTAAGGGTCAAGGAGGTCAACGGAAAATACATCTACTGAATTAGAAACCGGGACGACGCACGAATTTCTATCTACCAAAACAACTCTCCAACCCTGTGGCATACCCTTTGCAAGAACTTGAACAGCTCTTGAGCCTGGAGGAGAGTCAGCAAAAAATAATTTCAATGCCACTCGTGTTGAGCACACCTCCGTAGGAACCGCCCAGAACGACGACCGTTTTTGTAGGAAATGTCGTGTGCATGGACGTCGAAGACAGATGGGAGGCCTTTTTGGCGACGGACATGATGCAGACTCGGAAGGGAAGTAGCTCCGGGGTTGCTTGACAAGCTGTTACTAACTGCGTGAATATATGGTTCGAGCTTATCTGATAACGAAGGAAAACCGTGAGATAGTATTCCTTAATTCGCCAATCGGTGTTCCGTCTGATAGACGTGGAGATCCATAATGATTCCATTGCATCTCCCATCTGACGTGGACTACAGCATGTGTCCTCCTATTTCCTCCCCGCTGTGGCGGCTGTTAACCTTCATTTCCGAGCCATCCCACTGTCAACCAATCCCCATGAGTACGCAACCGCCAACTTTGCCAGCAAATTTTGACTGCATGAATGTAAAACCGATGCGGCTTGACCATCTAGGTATCTTTATCTTCAAGAATGATTTGGTAAAGTCTGAAATTATGTAGTATAGATGACGTGGACTATAACTACTGCCAGTGCATCATGTGTCCTCCTGTGTCCTCGCTGCGGCTCGCCGCTCAAGTTGGGCGTACCTTCATTTCCGAGCCATGCCGCCCTCAAGAAATATAGGTGAATATGCAAAAGTCTTACTATTACTGCGTAAATTCCTAGACCTGACTCGAATTAGGGCCTCCTGTAGCTGACTTTTCGTCTGTAGCATCGGGGTTTCCGGATTCTATTTCTGTCATCAAACTACTCTGAAGATGTCTCACACGGCAAGTTTGCTATTCTCCTTCCTCGACTACACGGCTCATTTTAGGCGTATTAATCACTGACAACGAGTTTGATCTATTACACGTTTTATCCAAGTGCATTTCATCTGGTGAAACACCAGAGAGTGATCCATGTGTGTCGTGGTTACCATTCCGTTTGTACGCGGTTACACATACTCATGAATACACCTAGATAAGCAGCTGATTGCTTCTGATATCCTCCTTTTCGGGATGGTGCAGCTATGTTGGCTCATTCGGCCTCATTCAGGCTTTTCTTTTCATGAGGCGTTCAATACAGCGGCCATGTAACGGAGCTATATATTCCCATATGGATACGACGAACAGCCCTGTCTCTGCATATATATTGCCTTCAGCCTCACTCTACCCTGCGGCCGTTTTTTTCCGGATCTTACGCCATCTCTTCACATGCTTATTGACAATTTCCAATTGTGTGGTCTCAGGCTTGCAGTTTATCGCGCGCGCACTCTAAGGTTCGCACGGTAAAAAGGAAGTTCGAGACTTCGTGTGTTCATCAGCGGTACGTCTTCAAAGCATTGCAGCACCATCGCAAGCGATCGGACAATGTTGTGTTACCACAGCCTTTTTCTGGTTCCGTTAACGTTATCGCGTCCACGCGGCAGCCTGCAGAAGCAGCACAACTATTAATGTGAGATGTTGAGGCTTATTGTAAGGCTCGCAACGCAAAGGAGGATTATGATGGAGTCTTTGCCCGTCTGCCTTCGCGACGAGATTTTTTTTTCTCATTTATTGTCATTTTAGGCTGGCCTAATGTCGACAGTACATATGGTATAGTGCTATCTGTACTCGTGACGAGATAAACGAGACTATCCGTGGGTGGCGATCAGCAATATTTATAATAGCATTCAGCGCGGCACTTGTGCAGTGTGCTCGTTTGTGGGGCTCAAATTGACTGTACTAACAGGAAAACTATTGGATGCCCTTGCACTTTCAGACAACTTAATGGCTTCGTACATATGCCAGTGAGCGAACCAGATGGAGGAGGGTTCGACTTGGAGCTTCGCAAGGACGGGGAACGTCGCAGACAAGTCTTCATAGACAGGGAAAAGGAGCCTGGATGAAAATTGTAGAATCGAACGAGACTAGTACGACAGTATGTAGATAACCCGTAATCAGAAAAGAGTATGAGAAAATCGGGTCCGGTGCCCATTCGGGTCGTATTTCATCGAGTTTAATTTCCTTCATACATTGTAGTCTAAACACAAGTCTAATTGGTTGATACTTTTGATCAGTGCGGACTCTATGCTTTGCCAATTTTAATGTGGCGCACGCTCTGGGCGCTCTTGGCATGCTAAGTCATACGGAGACCTTGCTTTTCGTAGTGCAGGCAGGCAATCAGCAGGTCTTCGCTCCCTCTCATTTTTCCGCCGTCGTACTAGCGTTTAGTTTTTTATCGACCACCCATATGTTATTCCCCTTTTCTCAAGTTCTATCTACTATATGGTCCGTTACTTCTGCCACGAGGCAAAATGAGACCAATTAAAACAGACGTGGAGCTTGTCGGACGACTCATCTCTGAATTGAAATTCTGGCTGGTTTGGGACGGGCCAAATGGACCAAAGTCTAAGAGACGATGGACCCGTCATCGGTACCTCCAAACGGAGTACATAAGTCACTATGTGCGTCACTATTTCTCGTCCCTGGTTCACTCTTTGCTGGCAATGGCGCAAAGCGCCTAAGCTTCTATGGACGTTGGGAGCCTGTTAAAAGCCCACGATGTCTCAAAACGTGGATGCTTCCCACTCATATAGTGACTATAATATATTCGATGCATCAATAGACCGTATCATATACCATCAATCAGCCGCACAGTAAGCACATACCTTTGCCCGAGATTCCGTTCAGGACACTGCGATAGGGATGGCAACGCCGCAGCCTGGACAATCAAGAAGGATGCCAATTGGTGATGGACGTAGAGAGAAGCTGGCATGAAATCTGAAAGGCAGCATCTGCTTGTTGCAACGAAGGCATTACATTACCAACCAGGTATTGGGCAAAGGACAAGGGCTGACGGATACGAAAAAGGCAGCGGGCGGATAAGGTGATGGGCAGGCAGAGTTGAGGCAAAGAATGAACATGCAGCATTTCCATTCAATAATAATATTGGCGGTGTTCAAAACATCGAGCGGGTTTTTGTACGTTGGCTGTAGCCTGTCATCGACGATGTCCCAGACGGGCCAGTCCGCTAAATCACTGACATTCTGCAGAATGTCTGCTATATATCCTGAATCAAGAAGAATTGACCGTCTTCCTCCCATATGGCGAATCTGACTAGGGCTGACTAGGTTTCTTGAGGTCAGGGGATCATTTCATATTGAAGATTTTGCACGAGTTGACTCGTAGTAACGGTGATCTCACAAGGCTATCAGTGATTTGCTGTAGCTCATTGTCATTGAGACTGGGCGTCCGACTGAGCAGTTATGGTGGCGAACAGGTAACGTCCGATTCTTTCAGGCGACTCTTTCTTGTGAAGTATGTGAAGCGTGCGTGATGGGACTGGCATTGCATGTGTAGTATTTGATATGTGGGTTTACTAAGCAATAGAATATTCAGTGAAATTACATTCGAAAGGTAATCCAGAGTGCTCTGGAACGCTCTAGGCTAGGTCTGGAATGGTCTAGCCAGGGACGTCGAATACTTGTACATACAGCAAAAATTTCAAGAACTTAATTGATCTCGGTATTATTAGGCGCATTCTTCATGAGACCACATGTGTAGACCGATCGTGTATACCTAGCAGATGTCGACTTCAACAACAACCCTGTAAACACACCAGAATTCACGATGGACAGCAGGTGCGTGCTCATCGTGTGTCGTCTGGTTATGGTAAGGTAGTAAGTTAGCAGCGAGGACCAAGGGTTCTGTGGTTACTCCCTATCATTGATTCATCTTGCCTCCTTGTCTGAATTTGGGAACCTTTATAAGTACTGGATGCCAAATAGTTTATTCGTTGTGGCTAGGGGAATTTGATTGCTGTATCGTTCCTAGCTATCCACACGTTCGCAAAAGGTCGATCCCGGGCAATACTCGATGTAGTCCCTCAAATTGTTCCTTGCCTTGCGCCTACATGTGTATTGCTGTACATGGAAAAAAACAGCACCCCATACCGCAGGCCGGTCCCTGAGGTCGTGCATTGCATGTGGCGTTATGAGGGGCTATGATAGAGTTTCTTCTTTGTTGTTCTCCAGTAGCAATAGTTGAGGGACAACAATATTAATGGGGTTACTCATGAACATTCGATAACAGTACAAAGCGGGAAACACACAGGTATACATCACGTTTGTTGCTATACATAATTTGGCACAAGTGCAGGGGAGAAGACCGCAAGAGGCACAGAGATAAGTCTAATACCTGTAACGAGTGGAGTAATCTGAGGTGACGTTGAGCCCGAGTACAATTATGATGATATTCAGATACAAACCTTTGGGAGATACGACAAGACCACGGCCCTTAGAGGCTCCGCGGTAAACAGTTTCGATGATGTCAATCAGCTGGGATGAGATACATCAATAATGTGGGCCTACTAGACAAATCATAACGTACCTCCTGTTTGTGATTCATTGCCCAGTTTCTGTAGTAGCAGGCGATGCAATGTTTGAGATAGATCAACGTGCAGGATGGATGCGCCACCTACATCTTGTTGTTGTTACCGGTTCCGAGATCAATCATGATATGCTTGTTACTGATGTATAATGATTCAGCTGCGTATCTGGTAAAATGGGGATATCAAACCATACCGATAGAAGAACATGACGGTGCACGGATCGTATAACTCGTACATCTGTATCATTGTGCCACGATCGATAGTTAGCGCAAGTGGAACAAGACCTGTGAAAAATACACACCTTGTTGAAATCCGGAACTTCAGTGATATCTACGAGGTAGATGACTGCAAAGTTCTGCACTTTCTCTGCGACAGAGTAGAGGGTCTCGTCCATCGTCATGCATTGATGGTCCCAGTCGTGGCCAAAGCGGATCACAACGACACGGTCCTCTTCAGATTTGATGGCTTCATCGACGTGCCAGCCACTGGGTAGGTGTGGAAGGAAGTATGACATAGGTGAGGATATGGAGAGGTGACTTGGCGCCCGACGGCTAGGATAGTATAAAATGTTTTTAATTAGATATATAATTTATCTTATAATATTGTATAATCTTCAACAATTGCCAACACCGTGATCATGATGGATCCGTCTGTGCATTGCATCCTAAAACCTTCCATCATGTTGTGGACTTGTATCAATGCGTTGCTCTTGTCCTCGACGTCGGTCGCAATGCACATGTTTGCTAGTTGTATTTGTTATTTCGGAACAACTTAAACGTGTGCATCTGTGCAACACAATTTTGCATCCGTCAACTTGTGTCTCGGTGACTTCGCATTCATGCGTCGTTCGGTGAAATACAGCTTACTCTGCAAAGCTCGATTTCTCGCACAATACCGAGTCTTGTGTTTGAGAAGTTTTCAACGTACTTTTGGAATTCCAGACAACCCCATTTCCCCCTTCCTTCTCACCACTACCTTCCCAATTGCAGCTTGTTTGCCTTCCTCCACTGATTCCACGAGTCTCGTGGTTTCAGGTGTATGTATTGTTGCTTCTTTTCTCGAATGGTATGAATATTTCTCTGCAGATGTACTCACTTGTTTGCCTCCCTGCCTGTGTCATTCCTTTCGTTGCCATGATTCACTGCTGTCAGGTTGCTCGCCGCTCGCTGTCGTGCTCCGCATTATCATTACGGTCCTTCCTATTTCGCGTTTTCGGGTCACTGGTGGAAATATTCGTAACAGTATATTACAGCATAATTCGCGCGAATGCAATTGCCGATTTTGTCATACTGCTCGAAGTTCGAACTGAACCGAAATACGGTATACGTATACGTAAGTTCGTTCTTATACCCTAGAAGGTCCTGGGATTGGTCTTGTTTGGCAGAAGCTGGGCAGACCATCAGGCTGAATGGAAATAGTATCCCTAGCTACAATGTTGCACTTGCCCGGGATCATCGTCTGGATACCATCATGAAATAGTTTATACTTGGCTGTCTTGTGCTCAAAATCCCGCCCTCTTTTAACGCCGGTTGCGATCAGTACATCCACTGTGAGGGGCTCGTCGCTGTGTGGCAACTACCATAGCTACTTCCATGCGTTGTCCCTTCAACCTTCAACACACCCTATCACACCTCTATCCGAGCACCGGTCTTTTCCGCCTGAAATTGCTGGTAACACGGATTGTTAGCCGGAAAGATATATTGCGAGAGCAATCCTGAGCTTACATCACTGCAATTAAATTGCTTCCACCTCGTTGTCTCCGGTAATCCTGCAGACGAGTTCTGCGGGCCTCCCACCTGCAGGGCCGCTGCGTTTCCAACTTTCATACAGTCCCACCCCCGCGCCATACTTCAATCTCCCCGATCCGTTCAGAAAAGGCTCAGACTTGCAATAAGATGAAGGTGGGCTCAGTAGCTGACATAATGCACACATATTGACGGTTATGACGACGAAGTACAGAAAATGATGAGCGGGCCTGATATTGACTGTCAGTCTGTCACATCTTCCATCAGGCCAGTTACTACTGGAGACCAACGACAATCAAAATTGCTGCAGTCTGCACATTTCCGATATTCTCGCTGTCTGTTGGACCTGGTTTCGTTAGAGGACGAAACCCATCTTTGAGACTTGTCTCGCCTTAGGAACTCCCTAGGAGGCACCCGGTACACCAGCACCACGGACTCATCCACAGACCGGTCATTTCAGACACCTCGATAGAGGATGAATACTCTCACAAGCTGTTCTGTGCAGTGCAATGTGATTGGTGGCTGGGGGTATTAGGCAAATGAATGTCATCTTTGCCGAGCTGATCACTCCCGCTTTCCATAGCCTACGCTGCATACCGCCTAAGCAATAAACTTCATATATAAGATCGGCAAATAGAGTTCGCGTGCAAGATCAATTTACCTTCACCGGCAACCGTATCCTCTGGTAGATTTAAGGCTAGGATACTCGCTCACACTAATCAACATGTTTCCCTCGTTAGCTCTTTTCCTCGTGGCCGGGATTACTGCAGGCGCTGCAGCCAGCAGCAGTGGCTGCGTCGGTACAATCTCATCCTTGGACGACGTTAGCAGTGCTGTCCAATGCACGACGGTGAATATTAATGCGTTCACCGTCCCTGGTGGAGAAACCTTCGAACTGCAGTTGCTGGATGGTACCACTGTCAATGTTTGTGAGCGTGATCTGATACTTCGCTTTGCATATCCCTGATTCTTTTTAGTGGGCGAGATTCAGTTCGGAAATTTGAGCTGGGCCGGTCCCCTATTCCGGGTGATGTGAGTGCAGGCACTACTAATTCAAGTGGCTCGGAGAACCTGATCAAGGCCGTCTTGACAGAGGGAATGACGTTACCTGTACGTGGGTTATTTGAAGCCGTGACAATCGCTAACGTTCTCAGTCAATGGAAACAACCAGAGGTGGGATGGTGGAGGACCTTTTTACTGGGTAAATACGCTGGTTCATTCACGAGGATTTCGCTTCGTCTTACACTGATGCAGGACGGTCAAGGTTCCAATGGTGGTGTCACAAAACCACGCCCAATGATGCAGTAAGCTCATTAGTTACTGTTGTACTACGTTCTTTTCTAATCTTACGTCTGCCAGAATATCGATCTCGGGCACCTTGAACGTATGCGCTCGAATCACCCCAGCCGTTCCAGACAGATCGCTGATCTGTTTATGCAGGACGTTTATGTCGTAAACTCTCCCGCCCACGTCTTTGCAATCACAAATCCAGGACCTCTCACTATCTCTGGCGCCACTGTCGATGATTGTGCGTAGTTGCATGCTATCAGCGATGTGTCTCATTTGACATCAAAAACAGTGCAGGGCAACTATCCCAACTCGCGAAGCGGAAACGGCGCCGCCGGTAAGTGGCGCGTTTATTTGGCATGCGGTTTTTGAACTTACCGGCCGAAAAGGACACAACACCGACGGCTTTGATATTAGCGGTAGTGATATACTCATTCAAAATTGGTTTGTCTATCCTCTAGTTACTCGATCGACTCATACACTTACGAGCATTCAGCACTGTCCTCAATCAGGTCCGTCTGACGGTTGAGCTTCCACGTTCCTTCGCCTACAAGGTATTTCTTTTTTAGGACGATTGTTTGGCTATCAGCAGGGGAACAAATATCACATTTGCCGACAACTACTGTGAAAACGGTCATGGTATCTCCATTGTGAGTCACTTCATCGATTTTACGAACCAAACTATTGAAATATTTGTCGTCTAGGGCTCCATCTCGTCAAATGTAGTCGTTTCCGACATCGCGATTATCGGAAACCATGTTGTTAGCAGGTGACTACGGCACAAGGGTGAATTAGAGTTGTACTGACACTAGTAGCTTATACTCGTTTCGTATCAAGACCGATACATCTGCGACAAACAGTGTAGTGAAGAATGTTACGTATAGCGTGAGTGGTTTTGATGATGATGATGATGATCTTGGACTGAATATTTTGTAGGACAATGTTGCAACCAACTGTACCGATTTTGGCGTTCTGATCACCCAGGTACGCGTGTTTTACCATGCTCTCCCGTCGTCAATCATATAACATATCTACAGAGCTATCCCTCCAACCTGGGTACCCCGGGCAACGGGGCCACTATCTCTGTATGTGTTCTTTCAGTTTTACGTCGGCAAGGGTTTCACGGGTTGTCTCAGGATATCAACTTCAACCATGGCACCACTTCCTTGACAGCCGACAGCGGTGCTTACAGGGTTGCAGTGAACTGTGGAAGTGGATCGTGCACAGGTACACGAGTTACAGTTTCCCTCAGTCCATTTCTGACATACGCTGATAGGTGACTGGGATTGGTCTGGTTTGAAGACAAGTGGTGGTAAAGCTGGATCCATCATCAACAACAATCTCATTACTGGATTCGTTGACACACAGTGAGATGACCCGCCGTGTGTTGATATATACAACTTGCTATTAATTCTCCTGTCATACTTGCCTGTTAGAACTATATAGTAATTCACCACGTCACTTAAGCTAGACTCGTATTGACTTAGACTAGACTCACCTTACTCGAAGTTGTTCTAGTGACCGGATGCTTAGCTTCCCTTGTGGTCAAAAAAAACATATAGCTGCATGCAGATATCGTGTTATATGCTCTTTTTCTTACACATTTTTGTCACACTGTTATTTGTGATATTATGTTATTTTCGGGACGAGCCAGAACCGAGACCCATGTACCGAACCACGGAGAACCGAACTAAAAATCTGGTTCGGATCATGGTTCTGAACCAGACCGCGGCAGCACTAAGTCGAACTCGAGATAAAACTGCTTGCACCAAGTTGATGGTAGCGAGAAAGCAAGAGCAATCATTTTAACTCGGTCCCTATATATATACATAGACCTACGCCTGCGGCCTCGCACTTGAGTAGAACATCGACCGTCTTGCGTGGGAACTTTATGGTCTGGCGCTTAAGCGTCACTAACGCCCAGATGGGGGGCACTTATACAGTATAGGACCGGCATTTGAGCCAGCGAATTTTGTTGGCCGTCTCAAGTTAACACTCCTCCATTAAACAAAAATCTGATGTGACAGTTATGTTTAGTTATACAATGACCATACTAATGCAACACTATAGAGCAATCAAATGGGTGACGAGTGTGCAATGCAATGATCAGTAAAATGTCTCGATATCTGTTTTTTTCACCACTTGAGCCAGCCCTAAAATGGATATAGCGCACATCTAAGCGCCAACTCGGATTATCGTGTCGTTCTCGTCTGCTGCCCAAATGCAATCTTCTTCTATACCCAGTGATGTCATAGCACCTTCTAGTAGTGTGAACCATTGATCATGAGTTGTGGGATTGACAGCGCGACCACGAGCGGTGTCAAGAGATCGAGTCCAGAATCTGCCAAGCTTGTCCATGTGTTTTTCAACAAACCGGTCAGTCCAATTTTTTCCTACTCCTTCAGCTGGGAACTTTTCCTTAAGTCGTGCTCGTAGAATGGCATCAACATGTTCCTTGAGTCGATGATGACCAATCGGAAATCCACGACGTCCAAGTTCAAGACAATACTCAACAACCTTCTCTGCCTCCTCTGATTTTAACCATGCTCTTTCCTCTGCCATGTACTGGGCGCTGCTTCTATTCCCTGCAAGTCGACGCGAGACAGTCATGTGGTCAACGACCACTGGTTTCCCAGTTTCTGCTCGATATTCCTCCTGGACTTCTCGACAGATGGCACGGAGGCTTTTGGTAGGCTGATCTTTTCTCTGCTCGGCACAGTACTCATTGATGGCTCGAGTAATGGCAATCTCTTGCTCTTGCCTAGCAAGTTGTTTTTTCCTGGTGACTGATTTTGGACGACCAACCATGACTGAGATATGCAGAATATGACTGCAGGATGGTGTTCATCGAGCCTGTAAACAAAAGTCCAAATTGGGTTAGTTTCGCAATCTTGTCCTGATAAACACATTTGATAATGGATTTTGAGACCCTCGTCCGGGATCCCAGTGGCAGCATGTTGTTGTGTGTAGGACATATATCATTGTACTGAAACTGTACTAGGGATATAGATCTTTCATTTGGCAGGATTTTTGACATTGATAATTGAATACTTCCTTCTCGCTGCATTGATTAGTGCCAAAAGAGGGCATGTTTCTGACCTGTAGCATGCATATACAATTTTTTTTTCATTTCTACTCGACAGTATCTCAGATGCATGTATTTAGAATATATCTGTGCTATCCGATGTGTCAATAAGCAAATGTTGAGTGTGTGGTAGCTGTTTGGCTCAAATGACGGTGCTGGCTCAAATGCCGGTCCTATACTGTAGTTCAACAAACACTTACAACATCGCGTCTTACTTGCAATTTTGACGCGCACAACGTGCCTTGACATCTCAAAATCTATATATGACAGTCCCCAGTCGATTTCGCGCTGCCGTTCCAGCCTTCCAGACGCTTCACGCCACCATGTCTGCTTCCCTTGGGGTCGTTCCACCTCGCGGACCACACCGATGGCACTGCTGACTTGGATAAGCCCCACCGTCACTGTCCTGCTGCTCGGTCCCACTTCAACCCAAAACGCAGTGAATTTCCAGAGGCTGCAAACAGATGAGAGTCACCTTCTATTTCAGGTGATGGTTGGCCACTGGCGGTAGAAACAAGGAGTCAAACGGCACATGGGCCATAATATTGACTGTTAGTCTGTCACATCTCCCATCAGGCCAGTTACTACCGGAGACCAGCGACAATCAAATTGCTGCAGTTTGCACATTTCCGATATTCTTGCGGTTGTTAGACCCGGTTTCGTTGGAGGACGAAACCCATCTCTGAGACTTGTGTCTCCTTAGGAACTCTTTAAGAGGCACGCGGTACACCAGCACCACGGACTCATCTACAGACCGGTTATTTAAGACGCCTCGATATAGGATGAATACTCTCGCAAGCTGTTCTGTGCCATGCAAAGTGATGCGTGGCAGGGGGTACTAGGCTAATAAATGCCATTCTCGCCGAGCTGATCACTCCCGCTTTCCATAGCCTACGCTGTATACCGCCTAAACAATGAACACCATATATAAGACCGGCAAATAGAGCTTGCGTGCAAGATCAATTTACCTTCACCGACAACCGTATCCTCTGGCAGATTTAAGGCTAGGCTGCTCGCTCACACTAATCAACATGTTTCCCTCGTTAGCTCTTGGTTTCCTCGTGACCGGGATTACTGCAGTCGCTGCAGCCAGCAGCAGTGGCTGCGTCGGTACGATCTCATCCTTGGACGACGTTAGCAATGCTGTCCAATGCACGACAGTGAATATCAATGCGTTCACCGTCCCTGGTGGACAAACGTTCGAACTGCAGCTGCTGGACGGTACCACTGTCAACGTTTGTGAGCGTGATATGATACTTCGCTTTGCGCATCCCTGATTCTTTTTAGTGGGCGAGATTCAGTTCGGAAATTTGAGCTGGGCCGGTCCCCTATTCCGGGTGACGTGAGTGCAGGCATTACTACTTCAAGTGGCTCGGAGAACCTGATCACGGCCGTCTTGACAGGGGAAATGGCGTTACTTGTACGTGGGTTATTAGAAGCCGTGGCAATCCCTAACGTTCTCAGTCAATGGAAACAACCAGAGGTGGGATGGTGGAGGACCTTTTTACTGGGTAAATACGCTGGTTCACTCGCGAGGATTTCGCTTCATCTTACACTGATACAGGACGGAAATGGTGATGTCACAAAACCACTCCCAATGATGCAGTAAGCTCATTAGTTACTGTTGTACTACGTTCTTTTTTAATCTTACGTCTACCAGAATATCGATCTCGGGCACCTTGAACGTATGCGCTCGAATCACCCCAGCCGTTCCAGACAGATCGCTGATCTGTTTATGCAGGACGTTTATGTCGTAAACTCTCCCGCCCACGTCTTTGCAATCACAAATCCAGGACCTCTCACTATCTCTGGCGTCACTGTCGATGATTGTGCGTATTTGCATGCTATGAGCGGTGTGTCTCATTTTGACATCAAGAACAGTGCAGGGTAACTATCCCAACTCGCAAAGCGGAAACGCCGCTGCTGGTAAGTGACGCGTTCATTTATCTGGGAGTTTTTGAACTTGCCGGCCGTAAGCACACAACACCGACGGCTTTGATGTTAACAGTAGTGATATACTCATTCAAAATTGGTTTGTCTATCCTCTAGTTACTCGATCGACTCATACACTTACGAGCATTCAGCACTGTCCTCAATCAGGTCCGTCTGACGGTTGATCTTCCACGTCCCTTCCCCTAGAAGGTATTTCTTTTTGCAGGACGATTGTTTAGCTATCAAAAGAGGATCAAATATCACATTTGCCGACAACTACTGTGCATACGGTCATGGTATCTCCATTGTGAGCCACTTGATCAATTTGGTGAACCAAATTATTGAAACATTTCTCGTCTAGGGTTCCATCTCGTCAAATACCGTCGTCTCCGATGTCCAGATTATCGGAAACCATGTTGTTAGCAGGTGACTACGGCACAAGGGTGAATTAGAGTTGTACTGACACGAGTAGCGCATACTCGTTCCGTATCAAGACCGATACATCTGCGACAAACAGTGTAGTGAAGAATGTTACGTATAGCGTGAGTGGTTTTGATGATGGTGATGATGATCCTGGACTGATTTTTTGTAGGACAATACTGCAACCAACTGTACCGGTTTTGGCGTTCTGATCACCCAGGTACGTGTGTTTTACCATGCTCTCCCGTCGTCAATCATATAACATATCTACAGAGCTATCCCTCCAACCTGGGTACCCCGGGCAACGGGGCCACTATCTCTGTATGTGTTCTTTCAGTTTTACGTCGGCAAGGGTTTCACGGGTTGTCTCAGGATATCAACTTCAACCACGGCACCACTTCCTTGACAGCCAACAAGGGTGCTTCCAGGGTTGCAGTGAACTGTGGAAGTGGATCGTGCACAGGTACACGAGTTACAGTTTCCGTTAGTCCATTTCTGACGTACCATGATAGGTAACTGGGATTGGTCTGGTTTGCAGACAAGTGGCGGTAAAGCTGGATCCATCATCAACAATAATCTCATTACTGGATTCGTTGACACACAATGAGGTGACCCACCATGTGTTGATCTGTACACTCGCTATTACTTCTCCTTGCTTGTTGGATCTATATAGTGATTTACCACATCACTCGACCTAGACTCGTATGGACTTAGACTAGACTCACCTTACTTGAAGTTGTGGTAGTGGCCTGGTGCTTAGCTTCCTTGTAGTCACAAAACATATAGCTGCATGCAGATATCGTGTTATACGCTCTTTTTCACACATTTTTGTTACACTGTCATTTGTGATATACCGTACACTTACAACCATGGAGAAAGTTAAACATACCTACCATTTTTGGAGACAACTGGATCATCAGAGATGAAGGTGAATGGAAACACCCAAAATCCTCGAGTGCAGTGAGGTAGTAGGAAGAGAAAATCAAGAGCACGACACAACCCAAAAAATACCAAGACACTCAGAAAAGGGAAGTGGTGGGTGGGTGAAAACAAAAGGGCGAGTCACTGTAGATAGTAGTTCCAGTGAAATTCATTGGGCGAAATCATAGGATAATAGCCTGAAACTCACATCTGCAAACTAGAAATTTGTTCACAGATATGGTAATTTTCGACAGTTTCCCACAGCCACCCGAAGTGGCGACAGAGCTCACAGAATGTACAGCCCCAGACGCCAAAGTGGTCACAGAGCTCACAACTGGGTCAGACTATTCAAAATAAATTCAGTGATTTCCAGTTCAACGGCCTCAATCTTTTCAAAGTGTAGTAGTACTAGTACATCAGTAAAACCTCGTAATCATTTTCCATTATTTTTCACTCGGAACTCTCATTTTTCCTGCTTTGATCGGATTTGAGGAGCCGTTCACACAACATGAAGACACGACGGAAAAAATTGAAAAAAAGGCCACTCACCCTCTTAATTCTACTTTGACACTCTTGAAAAGTCACTTATCAGGCATTGACAGTGGTGATAATAGAGCAAAGGGCATCACATTGTCCAATGGTAAAGTACGAAAAAGTGGTGTAAATAGAGCAAACAATGCATGCAAATGGCGACAAAGCGGTAAAAACAGTAGGAAAGGGCGAAATGAGAAATGCATGTAAACAAAGAAAAGGGGAATTAAAGGCGAGTAATGAAGACAGATGGCAGAACAGGCAAAATGCGATAGTACGAGGAGATGGATACAGCACGGAGTTACGAGTCAACATTAAAAAATGCGCAGCAGGCAGTGCGAAACTGCAACTTGAATCTATATGGAATGATGTTAGTTCATTGACAATAAAATAAAATAAAGCAACGGTTCATTACCACAACATGCAGCGCCGGTCAATGTTCTCCTCCTCATCCTCATCATTGAGACTAATGTACTTCCGAAGGGCAGCGTTGCCTGATTTCTTGAGCAGTTTCCGGGCCATCGATGTTGTCTCCCTCAGAAAGCTTTCTCCCTTTTTCTTGATGCCAATCACGTAGGAGGTTGTCACTGACCCCCAGTTATTGATAGAGAACGCATGCTTGGTAGTACTGTGATTGCCGGTGGCCTTATTGAAGGTCCTCGGCGTCCGGAGCTTGCGCTTCCTTTGTGCAGGACGCATATCGAGAGCATCTGAATCAATGTCGATGGCACCGTCACTGAGGCACTTGATGGCGCACTCAAGCTGTCAACAAAAGTACAGCTATCAGTCATATTTCTCATATGTCTACAGTACTTACTGAAGCTGCACAAATGCCGAGAATGCTAGCCACGCCAATGGAAGCCAATACATCTGTTTTGAGCGCAGTGACTTCAGCATGCCCAATGATGCTATGAAGGTGAGCAGTAGCGAAGAGTTGTAACATGAATGGGGACCGGAACGCTTGCATTGTGTCGATGTTGTCCATGTCCTCGAAAAGAAAAGCGAAGTCTTCCATAAGCGCTTGGCCAAGCTCTTTCGTGTCAGTGTCCTTGTTCCGGGCATAGAAATTGTTACAGTAACATGGCACGAGTCCCCCGCCAGCAGACAGCCCTCTGCCACCGCACGGCTACAGACGATACCGGAGTCTCACCAGCTCTATGACGATAGATGACGATAGACAATAAGCGGCAACTGCCGGCTTAGATAAGCGGTCTGGACCGCACGTGACGACACATGATGACATAGGTCTAGAAGACCTATTTATGTTATCAAGATAGAAGGCATGCCTCGTGCAGCCTCATGTACTGATAGAAGGGTACCGCATGGACCCTATCTACGATAGAAGCCCGCCTCATGGACGCTATCTCTGACTCATGTAGATAAGCAGATTAGAACCCAGCTTTAGGCTGAGCTTAGATACGAAGAGTAGCCTTATATAAGGTCGAAGATTAAAGTAGATGTTCCTTACTTTAATCTTACTAGGTTTACCCTTGAACTCCTTGTCCCGCTAAAGCTACCTGCTCGACATCGACTCGTACCTTCAGTGATGCCTCTCACTGTCTGTAAACCCTGCTATCATCTCAGCGTAACCCCTCGTTAACCACCACGAGCTACGTTCGAGTACGCAACCTTTGCTTGTTTGTAAAGGCCGACGACTCTCAGCACTCGGTACCACTGTCGTGGTTGTCACTGTTTAGATCATCCTAGTCGCACACGACCATTTGTCGTAACAGAAATTGATCATTATAGCAAGTCCTGTTGAACCGAAATTGCTGCGCCACTCTGCTAGACGCTGCGTGGCCTGATTCAAATTGTGATCAGTCAGTTAGTAATAGTGACGCAAGAAAAAACATGGGACCTACGACACCAAAGACAGAACCTTGAGTGTTTACCTTGTACTGGAGATCCAAATCATCATACACAACATCCATGATGCATTGGAGCGCGTCGACGAGAGAAGTATCTGATATCTGCCAGAGGTCATTTTGACTGCTGGCCCACAAATAAACAGTCGGGAGGAAGTGCTTAGGCCATCATTGATCCTGGCATTGAGGGGGAAGATCACAGTTTCGATAAGCTGAATGGGACTTGTACCGCTTCTCGATCCAGTAGCCAGGCGGCGCTGTAAGTGTTGATTTTGGTATAATATCATCGGCCCCGTCTTCGGTTTTGACCTTCTTTGCAGGTGGCTGCATTGTAGTGGATGACTTGGAGATGCCAACAGAAGTCTGTCGCAAGAATATAAGTAGTAGCCATTGTTAATAAATAAAAAAGGAACTTATGGAAGACGTCAAACGTACAGCCTTCTTCGCTGTCTTGGTTGTTTCGACGAAGCCTGTAGGCTTCGTCATACTATGATCCATGTTGAGAACCTCAATATCGTCATCCTCGTCTGAGGAATCCTTGAAGACTGGGACACGGTGTTTGGTGTCCACAGCGTTGTGTGTCTTGTTCTTTGAGCGATGGAATATGAAACTGCTCAGGCTGTCACCGCTATCCTGAGACTTATCGGCCATATCCTCCTCGACATCCATTGTTGCATCGTTGTCCGCATCGGTTGGTGCATCATTGTCTGCATCGGTTGACGCATCATCCGAATCCTTCGTGTCATCCTTCAAGCCCTCCGTTGGAAGTGACCCGTCCGCGGTCAGCTCAGTAGGCACATCTATAATATGTAGTGTCCACTTACTGCGTTAGAATTGAATGATATATTAAACTGCCACACACCTTAAGCGCGGATGGCTTTGGAAGGATGTCCAAGCGATCCTCTGAATCAAAAAGCTCATCGCCAAAGCCACCAATGAGAGCTTGAGAAGAATTAGCGACAACCTGAGGTGGGATTTTATGCTGGCCGGAGCTGGTGGTCACAATTGTTGCGGACATAGGGTGGGAGCCAGATAAGAAGACGGCAGTTGGTGGCCCGTGCACTAAAGACAGTCCCGTGACTGTCGTATGAGGCGGCTTGGGAGCGCTTGATACGATGTCAGACCGGTCTGGTGAAACATCTTTAACCCAACCCTGGATGCACCTCCCTAACGAAAACTTGGACTTGGTCCTGAAATTTGAGGTCAAATTAAGGAAAAGAAGCGTTGATTTGGTAAGCATCAACATCATGGTTGGAAAAGAAGTCTGGACGCACATCAACTTTCCTTTCTTGTCTTCAACACGTGCCCCTGACTGAGCTGCAAGAGCCGTGTCCTTCTCAGTCTTCTTCTTTGTCTTGATTCCATCGTCCTTCTGATTTTCTCGAGACCGAGCCTCAACATCCTCGCCTGGGTCAGCATCACGCAGCATTTGCGACATGCGCTCACTGGCCATGGTATCAGTTCCTACTCCCAGGAGTGCCTTATTTGCTTGAGCAGCAGGCTCTGACTTTTTCTTGACAGGGCGAGCGCAGGGCCTTACTGCCTTCGGCTTCTTCGTCATGCTTTGCACCTCCGCCTTCTTCATCTCTTCCTGCATGGCAGACAGCCGCTGCAAACCCTCAACCGCGGCCAGTTCTTGAGCTTCACGGGTTTCCTGGGGGAGTTTGGTGTTCTTCTTCTTGGCTTGAGAATGTCGCTGACTTTGTCCTTCCAGGTCGGGTAAGCCTGGGTGTTTATTCGCATTTTGTGGGCGGGTGCAACACAGTTCGTTGATATCAGTCATAACTGACAAGTAGCTAATTTCAACAGGTAGTGCAGCACGCAGGAGGGTGGAGAAGGGTGTAAGGAATCGGGTGGTTGGAGTTGAACTTTGAAGCGCTCAGTGCAAATTTATAAGTTCTCATACTAACTTTAAATCACTTAACCAAACAAACGCCCATTCCAGCAGTGTCAGACCATCTTTGCCTCATTACAACTGAGTGCGCACCTGAAAATCGTTCGTTATTCTAAGTGAGTTTTTTTGTCACTCATTTTCTCTTATATTCACCTGATACTACAGACCAAATGTCAATGAGAAGGCACGTGGATCCCTGGAGCCAGTCTTAGCGGCCCTACAGACAAGAAGGTACATGAATCCTCAGAGATAGTACTGGCTATCCTTCTAACCAGACAGGCGCACAGATCCCCAGAGATAGTATTGGCCATCCTGCCGACAAACAGTCGTGCCAGAGATAGTATTGGCCATCCTACCAATAAGACAGGTGCGCAGTCCCCAGAGATGGTACTGGACATCCTACTAACCAGACAGGTGCACAGATCTCCAATAGTATTGGCCATCCTACGTGCGGATCCCTACGACCAGACAATCAATCGCTTCGTCAGGCGCATCTGTGGGTCGACGACCAGACGATTAATTGGTTCGTCAACTTAAGTTGCAATGACCAGACAATTAACCGCTTCGTCAACAGAAATTGGAACGACCAGACAATCAATCGGTTCGTCAACTGGAAGGTGTGTGGATCCCTTCGTCAGGCGCATCCGTGGGTCAACGACCAGACGATTAATCGGTTTGTCAACTTGAGTTGCAATGACCAGACAATTAATCGCTTCATCAACAGAAATTGCAACGACCAGACAAACAATCACTTCGTCAACTGAAAATTGGCCATCCTGCCAACCAGACAGGTGCGCAGTCCCCAGAGATAGTATTGGCCATCCTATTAACAACAGTCAGCGACCAGACGATTAATTGGTTCGTCAACTGAAATTGGCCATCCTACCAACAAGAAGGCGCGTAAATTATTATTTCAATGAAGTACATAGACTTATTTGAACCTTAGTTACTGCAATGCCTGATAATATTCCTCGTACTCAAGTCTGTCGACAAGACTTCAGTGCACTTCAGCTTCTGTGCGGAAGTTGCGCACAATGGTTCAAAACTGTTGCTGGCCGAACGAAACATTGTCTTGCTGCACACCCTGTTCCACCAGTAGTGCCTCGGGCCAGTCGCTCCCCAGAACTCAATTTTGAAATGGATGTTGACGAAGGATGCACTGACTATGATATTGACATGGGCGATCCCCCACGCCAACCGTCCCCTCAGCCAAACATCCACACAGAGTTTTTTGGGCCTGGCAATCGTCTGTATAGGAACTACCACATGGGTCTCGATGGTACGTTCATTTGCTGGCCGGTTTTATCTTATTTTTCACATGATGGTAGGCAAACCATGTGATGCAGATGGTATATATCTCCCTCCTGGCGCTCCTCCTCCTCCTCCTGAGAATGTAGCCTCGGACGACTGGACACCCTTTCATAGCCGTGCGGAATTTGAAATGGCGGAGTTTCTGTACACGCAAAATCAGATGTCGGCTGGTCAGATCAACCGACTGTTGGACTTATGGGCATCTACCCTCGCAAAGCACAATGACAGGCCACCATTTGCAGATCACCGCGATCTTTACGCAGTCATTGATAGTTCACCCTTTGGAGACATAAAATGGCAATGTTTCACGGTGGCCTATGACAGTGAGAGACCCGAAAATCCCAAGCCCTGGATGGATGATAAGTACGATGTATGGTTCCGTGACCCACGTGAGGTGACACGCAACATGCTTGCCAACTCAGCATACGCTAATGAATTTGACTACCGCCCATATCGAGAATACTCTACGGAGAACGATCAGCGTCAGTGGAAGGATTTCATGTCAGGCGACTGGGCCTGGGACCAGGCAGTAAGTACTTGACTTTCCTTCGATAATGGCTGCTAAATCTGTGTCTAGGACAAAATTGCTAAAGATCCAAACACGCTCGGCTCGACGTTCGTCCCTATCATCCTCGGTAGCGACAAAACAACCGTTTCAGTCGGTACGGGGAATAATGAATATTACCCGCTTTATGCGTCAATCGGGAATATTTGCAACAATGTTTGACAAGCCCATCGTGATGGACTAGCAATTATTGGGTTTCTCGCTATGCCAAAAAGTACGTCGCAGTGTGAACTCTTCTAGTGTATGCTAATTTATGGTCACAACACATTCATCCACTCTGCACTCACGCCTGCATGCACAGCTACAAAGAAACATGCGGATGAGCCAACCTTCCGAAATTTTCGTCGACAATTATTTCACTTGTCACTCTCAAAGATTCTCAGTTCGCTTAAGCCGGGCATGACGACACCCGAAGTCGCACGTTTTGGAGATGGTCACTACCGGCGAGTTGTATATGGGCTAGGACCTTACATCACAGACTACGAGGAGCAAGTACTATTGACGTGTATTGTTCGTGGTCGGTGTCCTAAGTACGTATCTATCATTTCATATGTTTTTTACCTTGTAACTAATACCTCTACAGATGTATGGCACCTCGTGCCAATCTTGATCAAGACTTGTTGTGTCGTTGCCGTGACTATGTAGAGGCGCTTATTGAAGAAGGTCCCTTGGGTAACTTGTGGAATGAAGCAGGGATAGTTCCAGAACTTGTGGTATGTCAATCGGTATGCTCTTCACAGGTCATCAATACTAATTATTTCAACAGCCATTTACAAACGACTTCCCCTGAGCCGATATATACCAAATGATCTCACCCGACATCCTCCATCAGCTCATCAAAGGCGCCTTCAAGGACCACCTTGTGGAATGGGTCGAAAAATACCTCATGTTACGCTGACTGTGGGTCGGCGTGTGCGAACTAGGATAGGTCTTCTCAGCGACGACTCGAGTGAGTCTACTGAAGCTGAGCGTGGTCTGGCCTTGACGGAACGTCAAGGATTCCTCCGGCGATCTCGGTAAGACGGCGCTCGTCGAGATGCAGGGCTAGCGGATATGTGCTAAGTCGTATGGGGGCGACTTAGAAGTGCGGTCTCACACAAGGAAGCTGGTAGGCTTAGATGAGCAAGTTCTGGGGATGAACCTAGTAGATTAAAGTAAAGTCTAAGTACAATAATCTGTGTCTACTTATAGGGAAGTACTACAAGTATTCTAGCTCAGTCTGTAATCAATAGTATATCGTAAATCTATGATAGTAAGACATGAGGGTCAGATAAGATACATGAGGCTTAACCTCTGATCAAGCATGCTGCGCCAAGGGCAGCTGCGCATAGGTACAGGAAGCGCCAAGCGCGCTCCGGATCTTCATGAAGCGACATGTGTTATACATGCGCTGATCTAGGGTGTCCATGAGGCGTACAGCCTCCATGGATCAGGTACAAGGCCGTCTAGGCCAGGGGCGGGGTCATAGTGCCAGGGGTCATAGCGGTCCAGACCACTGTCTTTCTAGGCGCAGGCGGCGCACCGCCGCGCGGGGAGTCTAGCAGAGCGGGGGCAGGCGTAGGGAGAGCTGGGGCTCTAGTAGGTGTTACAGATCCCTGTAACACCTCAGACACGTTCATCCAAAACGACGCGCAGAGCAAATTTTAGATGATATTGATCGCAGGTAAGCTTATCTAGTGTTTATATTACATATGATCACTCACTGTATATTAGGATTGCCGCTGTGGCCCCATTTTCAGGCTTGCGATGATTCCCTCAGGGACGCGGCTTCAAGCAATGGACGGGAGATGACTCTAAGGCCCTGATGAAGGTAATTCGCGCATTTTGAGTCTCACCTCACCATAGAACTTACTAATTCAACAGGTCTATTTGCCCGCAATTGAGGGTCATGTACCTACTGATATCGTGCGCGCCTTCCGTGCACTCCTAGAATTTTGCTACCTCGTTCGCCGCAATATCATCACAGAGGATGTTCTAGTTGAGATCGAAGATGCACTCTCACGGTTTCATCATTACCGCGAAATCTTCAAGACATCGGGTACTATTCCTACCTTCTCGCTGCCTCGTCAACATTTGCTCAAGCATTACATACAAAATATATGACTTTTTGCTGCGCCCAATGGCCTCTGCTCATCGATTACTGAGAATAAGCACATCAAAGCAGTCAAAGAACCTTGGAGACGATCGAGCCGTTTTCACGCGCTCGGTCAAATGCTATTGATCAATCAACGGCTCGACAAAATTTCAGCAGCACGAGTTGAATTCACACGTCGAGGGATGTTAGCTGGCACCTGCCTCTCAGCAGCTATGAATGCCTTAGGTAAGTCATTCGGTTTATACTAGTACAAGATGTCCCAAACGCTAATGTACATAATAGTTCCTGGAACAATACCAGCAACAGCAACACCAGCAACAGCAACACCAGCAACAGCAACAACACCCGCAACAGCAACACCAGCAACAGCAACACCAGCAACAGCAACACCTGCAACAGCAACAACACCGGCAACAGCAACAACACCGGCACCTGCACCAGCTGCACCTTTGCGGATTAGTATTGATGGGGACCTCGAAATCGATGACGGACCAACCGTTTTACAAGCCTTCGTGCAGCTGGCAAAAACCCCCCGTAATTTTTCATTTATCTTCATTTTTCAATATTCTAACATACTGTACAGAGTGGAAAAAGCGTGCTCAAACTGTCCCTGCACTCGCTGAAGAACTCAGTATACCTCGCCTTCCCGACCTCCTTGCACAGTTTTTATTCCAACAATTACACCCTGACGATCACCGTGACCCATGTGATGTACCTCTCGCGGAATGTCCTTGCTATCTCAACAAAATATTGGTTTTTAATTCAGCCTCGTCACGCTTCTATGCGCCCAGTGATTTAAGCAGTAGCGGTGGCATGCGCACTGAGCACATCCGCTCTTCTCCATCCTGGTGCAATGAGCACTCGCGCTACGACTGTGTTTTTGTAAACACAGACTCCGATTTACCTGGCATGCAAGGCCTCGAGGTTGCTCGAGTTCGCACTTTTTTTTCATTCAAGTATCGGGGTAATACATATCCCTGCGCCGTGATACACTGGTTTGACAAGGTTGGCGACACTGCAGACGAAGATACGGGAATGTGGATCGTTAGTCCCGCAGGTGGCACATCCAAGCACGCTGTCATTCACGTCGACGCTATCTATCGTGCTGCGCATCTCATTCCGGTGTATGGCATGGAGTTTTTGCCTCAGGGATTCAAATGTCACGACTTGTATGACACATTTCGAACTTACTACATGAATAAGTATGCTGACCACCATGCATTTGAGATTGCATTTTGACAATACTTTATTTACTATAGCTATTGTACACACTTTGAATGTATACTACTATTATCTCTCTGAACATGTATTATTTCTCCTTTGCACATTAAACTCTCTTAACCGCCTTGGAGAAAAATCAACAAAACATCTTATCACTCCTTAGATTGATTTTCGCACCTTAGCACTCGCGCCAAGGTGAAAAAAGTGACATAATGATGGAAAATGATTACGAGGTTTTACTGATGTAGTAGCAGGCTCGGCTGTAATCTCCAATTACAATACAAACATTATATTCAATGAAATACAAATATATAGTAGTAGTATCCGAGTCGTACATACTACTACTACTAATGCATGCGCTGAACTTGAACACAAAAAATAAGAATAGCTCGAGTCATCAATCTAAAATTACCGATATGCGACGGCTGGATTGTTCTGTGATAGGACATGAAGTTTGCAGTGGTGAATGTGAACAGATATGACTTACCTTGCAAACTGCATGGCACAAGTGAATGGTGAGAAAGACCATATTTTTTGAATGTAATTTGCATATACCCTAATCCTATATCTGCCTTGTCAAGCTTTTTCTTCGAAACATCGGACTGGTGCTTGGAAAGATTCGCCATGATTTCGCGTTCTCGCACTACACAATCCACTAGTGCCTTCTCTGCCCTAAATATGTCCCGCCTTGCCCTCGCTAGGTCCATGACAAGGTTGGCTTCAAATTCATCGGTGTCGTTGATTGACTGTAAGTACCATGTTAGTGGGAGTAAGTGCTATACAATACTATGATTGACTTACCATTGACCTGATACCATCGACTATATCATACAGGTCAGAAATACCGCTGGAATCGTGACAACACGAGTGACAACTTGGATGTTGCTGGTGTGTGCACGTACAAGACATCAGGCATGAAGATGATGGTATATCATTACTGAGATTAAGACTGATTGGTGAGGCTGACATTTTGAAGAAACAAAGAGTAAGTTATTGATTATGAATTGGGCTTCTCACGAGTGTCGGACTTTGCGAGGACATGTCCAATTTCCAGTGTCCTTCATGCGGTAAAACCGGTTTCAAAGATCAGGTTGCTGTTGCTCGTCACATGAGCCAGCCTTGCTCAGGATGTAGCACCTGGCTACAGGATTTAATACATCTGCGGGACCTGTCTGACGATTCTATGCATACAGATGACTTGGACGAGCCGAATATTCCTGGTGCTGGGCCTCAGGCTGAGGTTGAGTTCACATTCAGAGATATAGACGAGTCATTTGAAGGTAGTGGTGAGAGTGGTGGACAGGCCTCTGGGGAGGGATTACTTCCAAATGGTGCCGATTTCGTCGACTGTTATCCCGAATCTTCTTGGACATATGGCAAGGGGTACACCTTCCTCGACTTATTCAATTCTGATGAGAATAGCGTGTACCGTGCCAAGAATCCCTATTACCCATTCAGTGGCTGGAAGGACTGGGAGATTGCATCGTGGTTACTGCACTCGGGATTGAGCATGGGGAAGATAGACAGTTTTTTGTCACTCGAGATGGTAAGCAAATTGTTTCATTCTCATTACAATTCCGACGATGATTCTTTTGTCAAGATCAAGGGTCTTCCATTATCTTTTTCCTCGGCCAAGGAACTGCGAGGCAGAGCAGAAATGTTGCCCAGTGGTCCACGCTGGATGTCCCAAGTGCTCTCTATGAGTCATCCCACCAAATCACCTGTCGTTTTGTACTGGCGTGATCCCTTGGACTGTATTTCAGCTATTCTAAATCATCCCTTTTTTCACGATCGGTTAGACTTCATGCCTCGCAGGGTCTATACTACTGCACAACACTTGTGCTGTGTATATTCAGAATGGATGACAGGCGATGACACATGGAATATGCAGGTATATATTCATGTTTTGCACCAGTCACTGAACTTATTGGTTTCTCAACAGTCTGCCCTACCTGAAGGCGCAACACTCCTTGGAACCATTTTATCATCCGACAAAACGAATATATCCACGATGACGGGTGACAGAGTTGCGCACCCGCTTCTCATCAGCCTTGCAAATATCAACATGTCCACACAACTCAAGACATCGTCCAACACCTTTGTACTCACCGCCTTACTCCCCGTACCCAAATTTATACATAAGAATAAATGCATGCAAGGTGTACTCGAGGATCGCTTAATTCATGAATGTCTAGATATCGTCCTGCGTCCGCTCAAGCAGGCTGCATGTGAAGGAGTCATGTTATCAGACCCTGTTGGACATAGCCGCTATTGTTTTACCCCCCTTGTGAGCTATATTGTCGACACTCCAGAAGCTATGATGCTAGCTACTGTCGGTGGGAAAACATCTCCAGTCACCATGGCCATGTTCAAGCAGTTCGGAGACCCTTTCCGTCATGAACCTCACACGGAATCAACCACACTTGCACAGCTGGCCGTTGTTCAAACAAGGGCGGATCCCAACGATATTGAAGCCTTCTTTCGCAAAGCGCAGAAATTTAGCTCGAACGGTGTCTCTAAACCTTTCTGGCAGGACTGGACCCTTGGTGAACCGTCTCATTTCTTCACTCTGGAATTTCTGCATCTCATTCACTGAGAATTTTATGATCACAATGTCAAGTGGATTATTTGTGCAGTCGGGGATATGGAAATTGATTTCCGGTTTTCTGTGTTGCAGCCCGTCACTGGCTTTCATCATTTTGACGGTGGTATCTCCAAGCTAAAACAGGTTACAGGTCGAACTCAACATGACATTCAGTGTTCGATCGTTGCAGTCAGTGCGGACGCAGCACCTAGTGCTGTGATCACTGCTGTCTGAGCATTGATGGAATTTTGGTATCTCATCCAGTCACCGCGTATTGATGAAGACGACATCAAGCGCATTTCTGGAGCCCTCGATGAGTTTCACGCCAATAAATATGCAATTACAGCTGGAGGATTTCGTCGAGGCAACAAGAACAAAGTTATCGATAATTGGTACATTCCCAAATTGGAGCTCATGCAGAGTATAGTCCCCAGCATCCGCAACACTGGTGTTGCCATGCAATGGACTGCAGATACAACAGAGCATGCGCACATTACAGAGATTAAAGACCCCGTGCGATCAAGCAACAACAATAACTATGATCCTCAGATTTGTCGACATCTCGACCGGGTTGATAAGTGCCGTCGCTTTGACCTTGCAATGAGTCTTGTGAATGGTCTGGCAAGCTCAGGGCTACAGGATGATGATATTGGTGATGATGTTGACTTTGATGCAGATGATGATGATGACCTCCCCACGGAATTTATGGCCACTATAAAATGTCCTGGACATTCGCACCCAATCACCAATTACTTCGCGATTGCGAAGATCCTCCAGCATAAGGAGGTTGGGACTGTCCCTCTGCCATTGCACACATTCGTTATCGGACGCATGGCCTTTCATCTCACATATTCCCCATCCATCAGATCCATCTCCGTCAACAATGCTGCTATCAAATTTGGCCTTCCTGACTTACGGCTGGCCATTGCTGATTTTCTTCATCGCGAAGCTACCCACGGACAGAATCATGTCCACACAATTGGGGGAGCCAGGAGGGCTGGACCTACTGCTTCCCTGCCATTTGATAAAATTCAAATCTGGTTCAAACTTTGACTACAGGACACAGAGTTTCACGACAGTAGCATCATACGGCCCATGCAGACCCTGAATTGTGTGCCGCCTTCTGATGTCTGGAACTCTGGTAGGTACAACTCAGTTATTGTGAACAATGAGTTAGGGTGCCTTTGGCCTGCTCATGGTCTTCGTGGTATGTTACAACCTTCTATTGTGCTGAATACTTTCTCACTATTATCTTTCAGGTCACACAATTGGTCAAATTAGGCTTATCATGTGTCCAGTTGGAAGAATTAACACGGATTGGTCGTGGAGGGACCGTTTCCTTGTCTATATGTACCGCTTTGATGGTACGACGAGTGCCTGTGATCCTGCCACGCAGTTGCACTCGATCAGAAGGGTGAAATGTTCCAATGGTACGTTAGTGGGTGATATTATACCACTGACACAGATCAAGGCTCCTGTTAATCTCATTCCTCGCTTTGGAGCCAGTGCAGACAGCCGGTTTACCTCACAGAACAGCATGGAGCACGCGTCAGAGTTTTGGGTAAATAAATTTTGGGACAAGAACACATCCTTTCCGCTCTCTATGTAACTTCCTGCCTGTATTTTTAACTTTCGTGCTATTGGTTGCCAATGAGCTTCTTTCTGTTATATTCTTAGTACAACGAGCATTGATGGATGTAGTGACGTGCGATAAGGGCATCTTGTTGCTCCCACCATTATCATATTATAGCTTAGAGTATACCGAACAAATGCCACCTCAGTTCTTTTTCAGGACGGGCGGCTACGGAATAAAGTTGTCGTCATTGGTCTTGCTCCCTGCCACTGTCTCAGGCGATGCCCTTACAATGAACAAGTACACGGCCGAGGAACTGAATTGTTTAGTCACACAGGAAGATGAACCATCCGAGTTGCAATCGCTGGGACACATCCTCTCTCACATCTTTCAGCCTTTCAGCATACCTCTCCCGGATTTGTCTATGCTCCAGATCCCACTCAAAAACATCCTTCATCACAATGAATGTACCAAAGCAAAATTCAGCGAAAATTCACCAGACGATCTGGTGCCATTGTATGATGCTGATGCGCAACTATGGAACTGGAACCTTCCAACTCTTGCTCCCACAAACAAATCTGAATCAACAACTCACTCTCAACCATCTGAAAGCCTAGATTTGGAGGACAATGCAGAGATTGGCGAAGCTGCAAAACCAACTCATGAAGAGATTTTCTCATCATTTTTCAACACTTTGGCTATCTGCTTAGTGAAGGCAGAGCCCAAACTACTAGCCAACCCCACTGCGACGCGCACGTGGACTGCGGCCCACGCACATAAACCATTACCTGGTAGTGAGGTGAAGTGGAAACCTGATCTCCTCTTATCAGATGAGATCACCGCAAATTGGGGAAATATCAGGGTATCAGCTGAGCTGACGCACAGTTCATATCAACCTGCGCTGCGACTCGTGAAGGCTGCTGATACTCATGCATACCTCATGCTGAGTGAGCAGCCCTGGAGGCGCTTTGCGCTTGTACTATCACTCACCAACGAGTATCGGGAGCTCAGAGTCCTTTTCTACAATGATGCCGGTGGTGTCGTGTCCCCTGCCTTCAATATCTACCAAAAACCAAGCATACTCACTCACATTATTGCTGTCCTTCGTTTCGGCAGCCTCGAGTGCATAGGATATGACTTGACAGTCTCCTTCACAAAACACATTTCCCCTCCCCAACACCACACCAACGGCTATCGTCCGATCAAGAACCTCCCTGCCAAACGGCAACCTGCAGATCACGTCATGGCTGCAGCCACGTCTGAGCCCCCTAATCCACCACGCGATGATTTCGAGGGTGCACCAAGCGCTGTCATCGAGTCGATATCTCCCGACACGGAGCCTGAGCCCGAGTCAGACTCAGACTCAGAGTCATGTGCTGACCATGGTACATACATTTCTATGAAGAATCTGGAGGATCCCCCCCTGGTACAAGCCACTGCAATCTCCAGCGCCCCCCTTCTCAACCTCGCATCCCAAGCACCTGAGGAACCTGACAGTATCTATTCTGCTACACCCCATCCTTCACAATTCCCGTATTCAGCTCAGTCACCTGAACCGTGTGGCAAGATTTGTGTCAGGGACACAATCTACACGATCACAAGGATCCTGTTTGCGAGTCGTGGCCTTGTTAGTCGCGGGACTGTTTGTTACTTGGTCTCTTTGGATGATAAAGAATTCATCATCAAAGACCATTGGGTTCAGGGTAAGGAGGATCAGGTGATCTTGAATGAGATCGAAATGTTGAAGCACATGTCTGGCATCCCTGGCGTTCCCGAGTTGGTGGATTGGTGGGTGGTTGAAAAGTTGAATGGAGAGCCCGATGTGACCAGCAAATACCGAAAACAACCGCAATGCCCAAGTATTGCAGGGACCAGTCACTCACACGTTCGACTTGTCTTGACACCCTGCGCTTGCCCCCTACATATGTTCCGAACTCTTAAAGAGTTTGTGAAAGCGCTGAGGGATATCATCATTAGTAAGTGTTTGTTTTTTGATTGGCAATCTTTGAACTGACGAATCTAATTTCAGTTCAATGCACAGCGGTGGAGGAACGCAAGGTTCTACACTGCGACTGCAGCTTAAATAACGCAATGATTGTAGATCTGTTAGGAGGTGGTAGTAGGGGGTTTCTAATCGACTGGGAGTTTGCAGTGCGCATCAACCCAGATCTGAAGTATGCCATTGGTGGTACGGTACGTGCGTTCAGTCAATTACAGTACATCTAGTGCTGATCTGTTCATCCAATCTACAGGGAACAATCCCGTTCATGTCTCATGGGCTTCTCGCCCAACTCTCAGATGCACAACAGGCAGCGCTGGGTGGAAAGAAACCGAAATATATCCCTAAAACATCTTCAAACGCTTTGGCATTGCCTGTATTGCATGTCATTCAATGCTTTTCGGATGACCTTGAATCACTTTTTTCGTATTCATCTGGATTTGCATCAAATTCTGTGGTCCCCATGGCCAAGTACACCAGGATAGCTTACGAAACTCAATACCTGATCGCTGGAACAACATGGACCTCGAATCTTGCGCGGCCTTCAAGGGCAATTTTTTCGCAACCAAGAAGGAGGAACGCCGTCTTGTAGACGAGATCCATCCTTACTTCAAAGACTTAATCCCTCTCGCCAAGGAGTGGCATACAGCTTTGAAGGACAATATGGAGAACCCTGTTTCCTTCGACACCATCCTTACACTATTGAACACGCATCTTGACCGCCTTCCGGATGACGAGGATCTTGTTTCCACTGTCAAGACGCTCAAACAATCTGCAGCTATTCTCACAGACTGTGTCGAGAAGCATGTCGCTTCACAATCTTTCCCCATGGAATTACCCAAGTGTCAGAAGTCTGATGGTATTTCGATGGAGACTGACAATGAGTCAGACGGTTAGCATACATACAGGCTGATTCTTCAATGTAAATATCTTTTTCATTGCTACTGTGTTGTACTCTCATTCTCATGTCGACCCGATGTACTATGCGTTTTTGGTTGTTGTGACTTGTATGACTTTAAATTATGTTTCTTGGCAACTTGACTTCACACATTTATTCTCACCAAGTTGACTCACTCGAAACATGCGGCATTGATTATTACATGGTACACGCTTCAGTGTGATGCTGCATGCATTTTTGAAATGTAATACTGTCCATTATTCACATCAAGGCCGTTCTATTGGTCCACCCGGCGCCGAGACATGATACTAGTATATAAAAGGCTGGTGAGTTTGCGACTCGATGAATCGCTAGACTCAGGCTTCACCTCTTTCTCTATCCTCCATGCAGTTGCAATCATGCCTCCTTGTGCTATTAACAGCCCCAAGAAGAAGAGGTCGAAGCGCAAAGGCTCAGATGCTTCTGGCAGGGCAGGTGTACCAAAAAAATCTTGCCAGACTACGGACCTCACTGAAACACTCAGCATACCACTTGTTTCCCTTGGCCTTGCTGAAGCTGAAGATGGTGCTCCACAACGTTCTGGCCGCCCCAACGCAGGGACCGGAGGTAGGAACAGCCAGCTAGAAAAGATTGGTGCAGTCCTTGAGTCTCAGTCTCAAAGTCGTCCTCCCAAGGGCTCCACGTCCCTCAGTCCTAATATCCCAGTGAACCCTCAGGCTCCGGAACCTGCTCGTAAAGGACAGAAGGGTTGTTCAAAGGTCAGGCATGTAAGTATTCGTTTCTGCTAATGCTGACGTCTGCATTCAGGCGGTTCCTCCACCTTATAGTTCACTCACTGTTACCAATGGTCCTGCGAGCATTGATAACACAGGTCCTGGTTTTTCAATGCACCAACCTGGCGGAAGGTTTGGTTTGGTTGCTCCTCCCAGTGCTGGCCATAGTCTTCACGAGGCTAACAATCCACATAGTGCTGTTGGCTCGAAGGCTGTCAAGAAGCGTGCTACGAAAGTAGCTCGTGATCCAAACCCACACAATATTGTACCGCCACTCACCACTTTCATGGAACAAAACTTGGATCCAGCCCTTTTCGAGGAGGACAACAGTGTTAGGTGTCAATCTATACTGCGAGAATCCAAGCTGTTGAACAGCGGACCCAAAGGCAGCAGCACCAATAACAACAATGACGAGGATGAGGATGGGGATGAGGATGAGGATGAGGATGAGGATGAGGATGAGGATGAGGATGAGGATGAGGATGAGGATGAGGATGAGGATGAGGATGAGGATGAGGATGAGGATGAGGATGAGGATGAGGATGAGGATGAGGATGAGGATGAGGATGAGGATGAGGATGAGGATGAGGATGAGGATGAGGATGAGGATGAGGATGAGGATGAGGATGAGGATGAGGATGAGGATGAGGATGAGGATGAGGATGAGGATGAGGATGAGGATGAGGATGAGGATGAGGATGAGGATGAGGATGAGGATGAGGATGAGGATGAGGATGAGGATGAGGATGAGGATGGGGAGAGGGAAGAGGATGAGGATGAGTCGGACGAGGATGAGCACACCAATGAGAATGAGTACCAACGTCGTGATGGCCATCCAGGTAATTTCCTTTATCATACTAAGATTCACCTGATGTTGTTCCCTATTTCAATCTTACAGGATTTTCAAATGAATTGCTACCTTCGCAGCCTCGAGTCATTCATCATCTCACACCTGAATTTGATTTTCAGTACTCCCGCAATGAGGATGATGTGGCTGCTCAGACGAGCCTCAATAAAAACACTGTAGCAAACTCTCAATCCTCATCTGTCCACCAGAACAGTGACTCCCAGGTATGCTAATGTGGATTTACTGACATTGCACTTATTCTTTTTGCTTTCAAGGGCTCTCTGGATCCTTTGGTAGGAGTACAACAGCAACAACAGACACAATGTTCTGAGGTGAGCAAATGGTTTTTATTCTGAATGAGGCTCACAGTTATCGTTTGCATACCTCGAAGCCTAGCGATGTATTGGAGTCCCACCACAAGAAAAATGGCCAGCCCCGCCTTCCCGACCCTGACACTCTTGAGCTGCTTCATCAAGTAGCCGAGCACACTGATGACCAGCAGGCTCCCTGGAGAAACAGAAAGACAAAACGGTCAGAAGATGGGCCCAAACCTACTCTGCTAGCTTGGTACAGGCCGCGCTGGAAAAGCTTCCTTGAGCACACCAAGGGAGAATGTCGTGTGGAACACGCGCTTGACGATCTGTTTCCGAGTTTTGTTGATGATCTTCCAGGGTCAGTAACTGAAGTTCTCATTGCAACTTTAGTCGTTTGGGACAAGGAAGGAAAACAATTTGAAGCTGGTGCGTGTTTGCTTCTTCTTGCGCTAATTTGTTTCATGTTGCAATCCAGGGGTTTGGCCAGAGCAAAAGTGTAACATGGCTCGATTGGTACGTGTTTCGCTCTCTTAATTTACAGTCTTGCTGATACAATAGGTCTTTATTGAAGTTATATGACGATCTTTCGACCTGGCGATCAGAACTCAAGAAAACTGCCATAGGCTTAGCACCTCTTGCATACTCACTTGTTCCCCCTGCGTCAGTCCCCGCTCAAGAACATGCAATGTGGGTCCAGAATGCTGCTTCACAATTACTTTTGGAATCCGAGTTCTTACAGTTTGGATTGGATGCATTGGTGAGTGATTATGCACTGACTCTGACGACATACATTAAAATCACTAGGGCAAAACAAGGAACTTCGCTCATCCCGACCTTCGTGACACAGCTATTGGTTTCTTTTACACAGGGCCATACCAAATTGCCCGGAAGAGGCCAGATATCTTTCACGAGCAATTGCCCATCTCATGCTTGGCTTTGGTTTCCGCTGTGGTACTTTCTTACTTTCTGCCTTGACATCATATATTGACATTTTTATAGTACAACTGTGTCCTCGACAGTCTCATCAAAAACGGTCACGGCAAATCTTATCCCAAGTTCTCCGCCAAGGAATACGGCCCAATATACCGCCAGATGGTCAGAATGATTGATCAAATTCTTTAACATCCATATCACGGTCCCAGGTTAGTAGTGCAACTCCAGGAATGGGCTGAAGCAGGATGGTAAGAACAACCTTTTTCTTTGAAATTTCGGATGCTGATTATTTTTACCTAGGGCCGCATGTCTAAAACTCGATGGCGCTGAGGAGACCAAACACATCCATCTACAAATCGTCCTTGACTAAGTCTTCGCATTCCTGTGTCCGAGTTGCAGTACTACCATAGTTTGGGAGCCGTTTTTTGTTTCATATTTTGCTACTACTAGTATACTGATGTTTCCGTACCACGTGATTGAATATATTGCCATTGTTCCTAAACACCTTGGGTGAACTGTACATAAATGAATGTGTGGACAATTATCGCTCTCCGAGTGCTCTGTGAGTGTCTGTACATACATAGACAGTGAAAAAATGTGCAATTTCACAGGTAGTTGTTATTTACTGGGTGGTCTGTGAGCATCTGTACAGATATCCACAAAGTATGGAGCTACTGTGACGAACTGGCTAGTAGGGACCAAGCTGTAGAGCTTGTGCGCTGTACAGCTCTGTACAGAGCATTCTGGTTTGCAGATGCAGAGCATTAAGTACTGAAATCGAGGTGCTGATATTGCCGTTTTTTACTCTGAAATTTTACTCTGAAATGATGGTCTGAATTCATACTCTGAATCTGTACTCTAAATCCATACTCTGGAATGATACCCTGGAATGATACTTTGAAATTGTACTTTGAAACTGTACTTTGAAAATGCGCTGAATTTGTGTTGGAATTACGTTCTGACATTCAATGGAGCAAAGCACCGAATTACATTAGTTAATGAACATACAGTGAACTTGTATCAATTGTGACTAGCATAGTAACAAGTAATGAGGACACTGGCAAGGTTAGAGAGCATGAGCACAGCCTAGCAAGCAGCAGAGTGGGAACAGTAACCGGGAAAGGAGTATCTGTTAGCGCTTGGACAAAGCCTGATCATGGTGTTGAAAGTAAGCTTTGAACTGACTCAAATTGTGCACTGCACCTTGACTCACCAGACATGTGCTTCACTAGTGGTCAGAATTAGCTCCAATGACACCCTTCCTGTTTGCCTAGTATGAAGTGAAGACTCGCTCAAAGTAAGAACATCATTGAACATACCTTCCCTCGACCTTTCCGCTTTTGGGGGGCCATGGCTTCTGGCTGCAACACCACTGGCATATAGTCTGACTCGGTTACCTGATTCAACATGATCTTCATGAGAATGTCATCAAACTGCTCATCTTTCCCTTCCTTGTCAATGCCCTGGAGTGCATCACCAGCATCGGCACTGGCCACCATGATTTCAAATGTCTGCTGAAGTGTGCACTGCTGATAGGCATCTGCACGGGTATGGGTAACCTGTGTGGGTCATGGGTATGGGTACTACTGGGGTACGGGTGCGGGTCCACACTTTGAGTACCCGGACCCTCACCCACACCTGTGCTCAGGTTTGACTGGTACATTACCTAATCGAGAACTATAGTGGTACTTACTACACTTGTACTCAACTGCTTATTGCTAATGCTTACACCTGCCTACTATAGTGTGTTATACCCCTCCATCTTCTTCAACACAACGCCTACCTTCAAGCTCGAGCCATGCTGAACCAAGTCGTCACCCACCATTTGCAGTATGTGAGTGTGCTGATCCTCATTCGAGCAAGAGCCATGCTGATCTAAGTCATTGCCCGCCGTTCGCAGGAAGTGAGTGTGTCGATCCTCATTTGAGCAACAGCTGTGCTGATCCAAGTCGTTGCCCGCCATTCGCAGTATGTGAGTGTGTCCATCCTAGTTCAAGCAACAGCCGTGCTGATCCAAGTCATTGCCCGCCGTTTGCAGTATGTGAGTGTGTCCATCCTAGTTCGAGCAACAGCTGCACTGATCTAAGTTGTTGCCTGCCATTTGCAGGAAGTGAGTGGTCCATCCTCATTCAAGCAGGAGCTGTGCTGATCCATGTCGTTGCCCGCCGTTCATAGTATGTGAGTGTGTTGATCCTCATTCGAGCAAGAGCCATGCTGATCCAAGTCGTAGCCCAACATTCACAGAATGTGAGTGTGTCGATCCTCATTTGAGCAAGAGCCATACTGATTGAAGTCATTGTTTGTCGTTCGCAGCGTGTCAATCCTCCATCGAGCTCGAGCCATACTGATTGAAGTTGTTACCCACCATTCACAATGTCTTAGTAAGTCCTTTTTTACAATCCCTTTTTTTTCATATTTCTAACTTAATATTTATATGTACTACCTGCGGGTAAACCCTGCATGGGTGTGGGTGAGGGTACGAGCTGGCCATACCCCCCAAAAACCCGCACCCTTCGTGCGGCTCTGGGTATACCTTGGGGTGCGGGTGCGGGTCAGGTCCCCAACACCCCGGGGTATACCCGTGCGGATCCCTAACTGCTGATCATCAGTCACAAAGCTCTGATTGTCAGCGATGAGTCGGCTAGCTATGTAGGGGATGAGGATGAAATACGTATATTGTTCATATGATAGCAGGGCAAAGGCATCGGTCGGTAGTCCATTCTGTGGATCGAATAGCCTGTTGATAGTTGCACAAAGAACTGCACTGCCTTTTGGACCATAGCTATGGATCATTAGCATAATGTTATAAGAGTGCATCAGGACTCACTATCCAGGCCATTGTTACAAGTAACATCGGTCACGTGGCCGCCCTATCATTTTCCCCTCATCCTCGCCCTCACCATCTACCGGCTCGTCCTCCTTTACCGACTTTCCGTTGACCGGATCCTCGGGACCGTTCCCGTCCCTCGCATCATCCGCCTCTATGCACGTGCACGCACGTTCCTCCCTTGATTCGACCACCAATGTGGTCCCGCACCTCTGACTCGGTCTGACTCGTGCCACCAATGTGGCTTTCCCTTTTCTGTTTCCCCTGACTGCGGATTCCCGCACGTTGTATTCGTACTGTTGGTCCGTTCCAACGTTTCTCGGTCTCATTCCTCATTCCGACCATCCATCACTAATCAGGCTGTGTTGCCAATGCACCTATACCATTTCCATATCCCCTTTACCCTTACCTACTGTGCGGTAGCCTTGCCCTTAACCCTCTCCACTTAGTATAAGTAGTCGGTCACCCTGTACTAGATTCCTTAACTTGAATCTACTCAATCTTCCCTGGAACATACTTCCCTCTGAAGCCCCCTCAGCTTCAGTCTCTAGTATCTTTTCTTAGTCGCTCATCGCGGCTAAGTCTACCTCGATCGACCTCATCGTCCGGACAAGACAGTCCTGACTTTGAGTGACTTCTTAGACATCCGTCTACCAAGTCACGTGACACGCGCGTACTGTGATCGCTGCCGACTCGTCGTCGCCAGTCTCACTTGCTATACCGGATCCTTCCGGTTACGTCACGAACGTTAGCGGACGACGCCCCTCTTAGGGCTCCGCCTAACAGATCTATTTGAGTGCGTAACAGCCATGCCTTTCCTCCTTCACAGCTTTATCAAAGATCAGTCAGTGGAGATCAGGTTCGAGCTGTATGCATATAGTCAGCATATAGTTACCATTAGGGTGTTGTACTGTCGCTTATTGGTCCCTAGGCCCATTGCATGCTGCACTGAGTATCCATTACACTTACCAGCAGTCCCAGGTGGTTTTGGGATCAATTGTTTGGGCTTGGGCAGTGAGTCCATCCTGTGATGAGGCTTCTTTTGCTTTCCTACACACATGCATCATAAGGCAGCACACGAAACTCACATTTATTTCACGCTGTAATGAGCTGATCTTCTGCTGCAGCTGGGTCATTTGCTCAGCCAGAAGCCGGAGGCACGTCTTTTTTGATTTCTTCTGTGCTGCAGGCATATTTGATGGTGGTATAAGAGAGACAGTGGACTTGATTAGAGATCGCAAACATCATGTATCACATGACATTTTTCCCACGGTTAAATCATCAACATTTTAATTACATGTATCTTTGTGTAAATGAACAGTGTGGGCTGTAGTCCAAGCAGGCGGCCCACCTGTGAGAGTGCTGGCCTAGAGTGGCATTTCACAGCCCCCACAGCGGCATCTGTTGAGATCCGATGAATCCGAAGGAGACAAAGCCGAAGGGACAAGAGCCGAGGGAGAGATGACATGTAGATGGCTGATATTACCTGGAGCAGGCTGATCAGTTGCCTTTAGGTGATCATCAAAGGACCATTCAATTCTGCCTTTGCAGCCAAAGCACTCCTTGCAGCCATTGCTGAACACATCGTGTAACGCCTGCCTGATCTTGTATGTCAGAGGCAGCTCCTTCTTTGTGAGCTCCACAATATCAAGGGCACTGTGGATGCTGCATTCATGCAAGGCTTTTGGGAGGACACGGTTCCACAGGACAAAGTTCAGGAAAAAGCTGAGGAGGTGTGGTGCGTCAAGGAGGTTCCTCTCTGACCTACAAGAGATACTCTAATAAGAAACACATTAAAAGTTATTATTGAGAAACAGACCAGAGGAGAGATAGCAGGTACATACACGTATTGAATCTGTATGCTGTGCATAGCGTGGCTCGAGCTCGACACGAGGATCGATAGACTCATGTCCTGTGAATAGGGAACTGCACGGGTATACCCCCGGGTGTGTGCAGTCAGACCCATACCCATACCCAAAGATATACCCGTACCCACAGTGCGGGTATGGGTATGTGTACGGGTCTTCATTCCGGGTATCAACAACCCTGTGAGAGTAAACCTGCGGGTCAGCTGCCAGTGCTTAGCACATATGTCCAGCACATGTCAGCGAATGCTGACGTGACTCGAACATATGTGGATGGCACAGGTGTCAAGAAGGAGGAGTGGATGTTGGGATCCGATGAATCCGAAGGAGAGACTGCTGAAGGGACAAGAGCTGAGGGAGAGACGCAGCAACCGGCCAAAGGATAGAGCTGGAGGAGAGGATGTCGAGTGTGAGCGCATCCAAACAGAGAATGGGAACGACGTGTCATGGTCGGCTTGTGCGCTGTCCATCTTTTAGTTTATTTTACTGTATATATAATATGACTGTACCTGTCAAGTGAGCTGCGCGCATGATGCTGAAAAAAAAAACACACACCTTGTCCAACAAACATATTAGTCCCCCATCCAGAGTCGAGTCTACATGCACAAGCAGCGCAACGTATGGAATGAGTGGCGGCATTGGATGATGAGCGACAATGAGTTGATACAAGTGCAAACGAGTGCAAATGGGTCAATACCAGTGCGAATGAGTTGAAACAAGCACGAACAAGTTGAAACAAACGCGGACAAGCGCAAATGAGTTGAGACAAGCAATTGAAACAAGTGAGAATGAGTATGAGTGAATGTGGAGTGGACAAGCAGATACAAGTGTGTACAAACAATGCTGATGACTTGAGAGCGACCGAAATGTGCTAAAGCATGCAAAAACCCAGCACACGGGTATGGGTAGGGGTACGGGTATCGTAATATCTGACCCGTACCCGTACCCCACACATACCTGTACCCCGCACCCGCACGGGTATACCCATACCCATGCAGTTCCCTACCTGTGAATGGTGGGCAACTTCAGCTGGGATCAGCATGCCTTGAGCTCGAAGGAGCATAGAGAGACTCACATCCTGTGAATGGTGGGCAGCAGCTGGGATCAGCATGACTCAAGCTCGACATGAGGATCAATAGACTCACGTCCTATGAATGATGGGCAATGGCTGGGATCAGCGTGGCTTGAGCTCGAAGGAGGATCAATAGACTCATGTCCTGTGAATGGTGGGCAACAGCTGGGATCAGCATAGCTTGAGCTCAACACGAGGATCGATAGACTCACATCCTGTGAACAGCAGGCAATGACTGGGATCAGTGTGGCTCGAGCTTGAAGGAGATTCACTCACTGACTGAAGAGGTATCAGATGTGAAGCTGAAAAAGTAGAAACAAATAAACCTAGTGAGCTTCTCGATGAGTTTTGCAGAGGGATTCAGGCCATGGCCCATTTGATGGTAAACCGACATACATTAGTGCGAAAACAACACTTCAAAGGCAAGAATTAGCCATGGGAGATTGTCCAGAACCTGCCGATGCTTGCCAGATGCCGCAGTACTAGATACAATATGTGAATTTCACCACTTGGTGAGTGCTATGCATTTATCCTGCATAATTTTTCCCTAATGATTACTACCAGTAGCAAACTATCTATGGCCAATGTGCTGTTGGCTTCAGTATTACCATTCAACTTGCGATATCGTTATCTTGCACCTTCGATGCCACACGTACGTTCCACTTACTTCTTGACTTCCTGGACTTCTCACTTCTTGCACCATATGGACTCTACCACATGTCGATCCTCCGGTCCTATTAGCTGAGTGTTACCATTCATACTTTATATTGTCGCGTCCAGGTCAACACCTCAGTATTGTTTCCTAACAACTACTGAGGTGTGTATGCCCATATCTCATACTTGCACTCACTGATGTATACTTAGCTCTTTGCTAGGTACTTTTATAAAAGTATTGTTTCCTAACAACTACTGAGCTCTTTGCTAGTGTACACATGCCTCCAGAGGCAAAAAAAATGCTGTTGCCATGCACCTTCCTGCTATAAATTCTTGTCTTGCTCTTGCTGGGACAAACACTACACCTCTGTGGACCCCAATGAAGCACTATGCTCTGATTTTGGTAGCTCAGACTCAGAGGCTGAAGACAAAGATAATTCCTAGCTTGTTTCATCCCCACATTCTTCCACAATCATCAAGGATGCAGCATCATGCTCATCTCACCACACTGACGAAGCATCCGAGTCTAGTTTAGATGGTACCTCTGATGAGTCTGCCACATTGGAAGCTCATGATTTGTACAATTTTGACACGGACGATGTGGACCACCATGCCATTATGACTCTCAACACTATGATCCTTGAGCTAGAGGATTGGCAAGGTCCGATGAAGACTAAAGAGATGCATAAGCTCCATATGTATTTGTGTTCAAATATGAATGCTAATTCTAATGTAATCTAGGTAATGATATGCTCACTGACGAGGATCGTGATAACATCTGTGCATTCCAGCTGAAGCTAGTTGGGAACATTCCTTGTCGTGTATTTGATCGCATGCAGCAGTCCTTTCAGCACAAAATGACAATAGACTCTGAATGGGTCATTCTGCGTCGCCTTGCCACATTATCTGGCATTCAACTGATCAACTATGATTGCTGTATTAACTCATGTATTGCATATACCAACGACTATTCTCATCATATCCAATGTCCTTTTTGCAATGAATCATGCTATGATCCTGGAGGATGTGTATGGTGGCATTTTTTATATCTTCCACTCATTCCCCATCTTTAGGCATTTTTCCAGAGTCCGGATATGATACAATTGCTTTCGTATCAAACGAACTATATCAGAGAACCTGGCATCATTCAAGATGTCTTTGACTTGGAGTGGTACCACACACTATGTCGGACCAATGTTATGGTTGACGGCATCAAACGGGAGCACAGGTTCTTCTCTGGAAGGCACAACATAGCATTCTTGCTATCAGTGGATGGTTTTCTACTTTTTAACCATCGTTGGAGTGGCCCATCTGCAACACCACTCCTCCTAATGAATCTCAACCTTCCTCCTTTTGTCCGAACACACCTTGAAAATGTTCTGTGCCTTGGTGTCATCCCTAGTCCTCATCAGCCCAAAGATCTTGCATCATTTATCTGCCCTCTCGACAATGAGCTCGCTGAACTTGCTGATGGTATTCAAACCTTTGATGCATCTGATAAAACCAACTTTTACCTCCATGCCTATAACATCTTCAAGAATGGGGATATCATTGTGATCGAGAAACTTTTGAATATTAAAGGACACAATGGCTACTCTCCATGCAGGTCTTGCGAAATGAAGGGTGTTCGTAAGATCAGTGCTCGAGGTACTAACTACTACACACCTCTCAAGACACCTCGATGAGAAAATCAAACCTGCCAATCATATAATCCCCTCAATCTCCCTTTATGCACGCACAAGGGATTTGTTAGTATCCTTGAGGAGTTGGATGCTACAGTAATGAAGTGTCAGAGAGAGCATCTTGCAAAAGAACATGGAGTAAAGGGCGAGCCGTCACTTTGTCATGTCAATTCAATCAATTATGCTAATTGTGCACCTTGGGAATGGATGCACCTGTTCCTCAAAAACATTATCCCACAACTTGTTGACCTCTGGACAGGGCGTTACAAGATGTTAGATGTTGGCAGTGAGGATTATGAACTCGCACCACATGTCTGGGAAGAAATTGGCGCTGAAACAGCAGCAGCGGTGAAGGAAATACCTGCCGCTTTTGTGCGAGTCCTAGGCAATATTGCTGTTGATAGATCAACCTTTACAGCTGAAGCTTGGAGTTTTTGGTTCATGAACATTGCACCCATTGTGCTCCGAAATTGCTTGCCATGGGTCAAATACTACACCCACATGTGCAAACTTATATCATTGATGAAGACATCTGTCAAGCTCAAAATCACCACACAAGAGATTGATGATCTTGAATGAGGGTTTGCAGAGTGGGTCAGAGAGTTCGAGCGGTAACTAAATCAATTTCCATTTGAAATGTTCTCACTTGATACCAACAGCTATTACTATCAATTCAAAGAAGATAGGTTAGCGGTCTGCACACTCCCAATTCATGGATGCCTGCATGTTGCAAAAGACTTGTGCATGTGTGGACCTGCTTGGGTCCACTGGACATTCTATGTTGAATGGTATTGCCTGCACCTCAGGACTGGTCTATGTTCGAGATGGCACCCATGGAGTGGCCTTTCCCGTGTTGTTTTATACACCACATACCTCAGCCAACTCAGTGTTAAGTTTGACCTCCAAGATGACCTCAAAAACCTCAATCCCCACTGCGGACAACGAGAACTGGAGAATGAACAATCATTCGAAAACTGTGAGTTGTGGAAGTCATGAGTTTAATATGACATTCAATGGCAGACCTATGGACCAGATCCTGAAATTGTTTTGCGAACACCATGTCGTTCCAGCTATGCACCTAATGAAGACACCCACAAACAAATCAGAGTATATCTCTTCCAGGTTCTTGGAAGGCGGCGCAATGATCTTGCACTGCACTTGCCATCTGTGATGCCTCTGTGGGGGAAGATGAGGATAATTAGTGGTGGTGATCTGATCAGGACCAAATATGCTCTGAGGGGCATGAGCAATGTAAAGTATCGTGACAACTTGTTCGTCTGAGTGAGTATTTTCACCTCAAGTGTGGTCATGGCTGACATGTGTTTTTTGCTGTAGTTCAAAGTCTCATATTCTGACGCAGGAGAATCACGACCTGTTGATGTGATTGGTTATGCATGTGTTTTTTGCTGTAGTTCGAAGTCTCATATTCTGACGCAGGAGAATCACGACCTGTTGATGTGATTGGTTATGGCCAGCTGGACAAGATTTCAATTTGTGAACTCGGCGAACACAAAATTTACAGGTTCCTACGCAATACAACACTCATCCTTGCACTTATAACACCATGCAACACTGATGGAACAGATGCATTGATATCCCTAGTTGGATACAAAGAGTTTGTTGCACCAGTAGTCACGGATGTGTGAAACATCAAGGTGGTTGTTGGCTGGGTACAGACATGAGGCAAAACCTGTATCATTGACCGGTGGTTAGCACCTGGTGGCAATAAAGAGATTGGAGATGGTTCAGATACATCAGATAGTGATTAGTGTTATGTATATGGAATCTCATTATGAACCAGATGCAGTCACTGCACCACTCTCTGCAGAACCTGCGCTAGAACTCCCTGCGACACCATATGGAATTTCGGACAGAGAAATGAGAGCAGTGATGTTCTGGCCTGGCTTGGGCCCATGCGAGCTGCGGCCCACATGCTGAATTGCTTGTAATTGATGTCCGAGCTCTACCATGCCGTTCCCAACATCACAAACACCATGCACAAACACCCAGCACACATCAGCAACTGCTGATGTGGCTCAGATGAATACGGATGATGGACAAGAGCAGGAGAAGGGAAGAAGACAAGGAGGAGAACGAGAACGAGAGAGAGGAGATGAATGAGACAACTAGGAAGACGTCGAGTGATGTGTAAAATAAAAATAAAAACAAATTGCTTTAAAAATGCACCATGCAGATGAGGATGAGTGAGAATGAGAATGAGTGAGAATCATGAGAATGAGCATCGAGAATGAGTGTGCATCGAGCGAGCATGGAGAACAAGTGAATGTCAAGATTCGAGAATGAGAATGAGCGAGTGTTGAGAACAAGCAGATGCTGAGAGCACGGGATGCATCTAAAATGGTAGCATTTAGCAACTCCAATAAGACAAGGCAACATTCAACACGAGAGAGATTCAAAATCAAGCAATGCGTGGGGAGACAGAACAAAGGGAAGGACAAACAGGCATGGACATACAAGCACCCGCCTGAGGCAGGCGCATGTAGAACCACAGCCACCTCCACCTGAGGCAGAAGTTGTCAGCTGTGGGTAGAGAGGAGGGATATGGCATAACAGCCTCAGAGACGCTGAGACACAATCAGCAGGAGAACATAAGAAGTTTTTGTGAACTACAGAGACAAAGGGAACATGAGGCATTCTAGAACAACACAGGCTCAAACAACAGAAAGGGGATTTTTTGCCCATGGGGCATTTTTTGATACAGGTGCCTGATCGTTTGCATTGGACAAAACCATACATTATTGGAAACATTAGTGCTGAAGTTTAATTCAGTTTTCCACTGAAAAGGTGGTGCTGAATCGAGGGATATCCGCTGAAATTCAGAATCAGCACTCCAATGAAATTAACTGCATGCAATTTCAGTGGAAGTTACTCTGAAATATCCAGCACCAGTGCATTTTCCAGTGATTTTTATTGGAACTACTATCCACAGTGGAGTGCAAAAAACAAGACACATTGAACCCCTAAAAATGTCTTATGTTGCGCACATCACATAGTAGGCACCTGTTTGAGTCTATTTGCTCTCAAGTTCGCAAATGGTATGCTTACTAGAAACTCGTTCACTTAAGACGAGTAATGCAAAATGCTTGAGAGTGACAGTGATCGCTGAGCTGATCTGAGTACTGTCACCTCGAGCACTCCCTTAATTCAGTTATGATCATACTGAATGAAATATAAGGCAAAACCAATAGAAGATGTGTTTGAGCAGCGGAGTTCTCTGCATTACTGAAGACTAAATTTTTGTTTTGCTAGTTGGGTGATCCTGATTTCGAGTGCTTGGAATTGGTAAATATTTGCAAAGACCATCTCTGAGAGATCTGTAAGTACAAGTCCAAAGTCATTGCCCTAGCTTGGGCATATGTAAATGATGCATGCTAGGCATTTTGTTCACATTTGCACATAGTTCCAATAAAAATCACTGGAAAATGCACTGATGCTGAATATCTTCCTTCCACCACCTCACCCTGTGGGGTCTTAAAGTCTCAAATGTCAAAGTCCTTGGCAAGTAACAGGTTGTACATAGATATGACTGGATGCTACATGTTGTAGCACTCAGCCTCGCGCTGAGCACATATTCAGCTAATTCCCAATGCATGTCAAACACCCATCGCACTCGAATCACTTCCTGATGTTATCCGACACTCACCCACTCAATCCGGTGTTTATCCGCTAAACCCGATGTAGGACTTGGAGTCCTTGTAGCCTTGTAGATGCTATTTTTGCAGTGTCCCTCAGGTCCTAGCGCAGCATGTGCTATCACTACCACGGCGCGCAACTTTTCCATTGTCAGCCGACGGCCATCACTCATGCGCACGCTTCGGTTCACATCCGCTTTTCGTTGGTTCCATTGCACATCCTTCCTCCGTCCTACCCATGTCCCCCGCTTGTCCATTGGTGCATATTCTATCTCATTTGCATTAGACTGACAATATTTCCAAAGTGATATTGCTTATTTTTCCGTTACTTGCATTATGGACCCTTGATATGTATTACCATTATCTTCTCAGTTCCAAACAGCGCTACGCGCGCTATCATATATACTCAGTACTTTAGATTTTTCATGTACCTTCTTCTCCCACTATTGAAATTATCATCCATTTGCACACAATTCTCAGACTGAGAATCGAAACCTTCAGCTGACTACATCGTGCGCTACATTAACGGTCACACTTCACTCATCACTCTTATTGCCAAACTCTCCTCCCATTTCATCATCATGTCGCATCACCTTCATGTTTCCACTAAAAGCTCACTCATATAACCTTTGGCTTTTCTCTGCATCTTCGCGCTCCGCCAATCTTTCGGCCACTCGGTCGCATATCATATCGCACTTTTGGTGGTTTGCTCGTGCTCATGTCGCATCAGCACAACATCAAGCACTTCTTCCATTCTCAGTTGCTCCTACTAGTTTCCGAGTTTCCCCTCACATTTTACTTAGAGGAATTGTTCTCAGTAGCAATCCCCTTGGGCTGAATAATATACTCGCGTCCAGAGGTCTATTTGAGTTTTACCCCACTTCACCCTTTCTCCCCCTTTCACCCCTTCTCATCTAGCTATCATTCCTCACACACACCGACGCTAGGCCAACGAACCCGACGCTAGTCCAAAGAACCTGATGTTTCCCATGCATCAAACCCGATATTTTCCCATGCACTTGTTCTCCCTATGTCCTGTCCTGTCATATCTATCCCCACTAGGTGCACAGTTATTCATTTTCATGTCACTAACATTGTAGAACACATTATCACATGTCCACAGTACATCGTGTCTTATTACATAGGACATCAGACCCGAAAATCAGCACTACTACTTTCACCTATAGCACTCCAAAATTCTACATAGATACTATATATTTCGCATACCTCCTACCTATTTACTTACCTTTCTACCTCCAAGTAGGAGGAGGTCATTCAATATTTAGTAGTTCTTAGCTGAATTCCGCAAATATCATCCATTATTTATCTGAAACACTCCAAAACATCTGACATTCACTATCCCCAACATTCGCTATATTCCTGACACAAACCCAATGCTAACCTGATGCTAACCTGATGAAACCTGCTAACCCGAAAACATCAGACCCAACGTTTTTGACATCAGACTCGTAATTATACCTTCGGACTTTGTTTCCCGCGCCTCGGACTATCTTCCTTTTCATATAACTGATTATTCGAAAACCATACAGAAAACCCCTCAGGTCGAATGCACTTGTCTTGCAAGTATAGCAGACTAGGCAGTGCTAGACCACAACATTTTTATATTGCTAAACACTTACTTCATGTAGTGTCTAGCAATTGTTGTATCTCTACAGTGATTTGCCCCCAAGCTTTGAGTGTGCTAAACCAGGTGCTGTTGCAACACCTTCCCCTTGCCGTTGTTCATTCTCAATGTCTCTCAAATCAAACCATATGGCATTTTGATTGCAACTTCTATCAAATCTTTTACTAACTTGAATACAAGTGTTTCAGCACACACCATAACAGATGTCTCAAGATTATTGGGGCAGGATCCAATGGTCCCTGTTGAGTACAAGTTCGGTATTGGAGCTGATCCTACAATGCGGATAACATGATGGCAGTTCCCTCTGATACCCATATATGCATTTGGCCGCTACATACCAAACATCAAATTTCAAAGCAAAACATTTGATTAGTAGTATGTACTATCACAAACTTTGAGTTTATTTGCCGTCAGTTTTGAGTCTTAGTCACAATATCAAGTGACCAGGCCTGTTACCGGCAGTTGCATTATGCAGTGATGGAGTCCCATTTGAAGCTTTGAGTCAATCAGTGAACCACCATGACTTGGAGTCTGCATCTATTTCTGAGCCAATCTGAACCAGGATCTGAACCACTTGTAAGTAATAAGCCTAAGCTTTTGGCTGAATTGAATAAACCCTGACCATCTTTGCTCATCATAGCGGGAATTAATGCCAACTTCATTTCTATCAATCAAATTGTTCAGGGGCCAGCCTCGAGGTAAGTACAAGCAACTTCGGACGACTAAGTATCTAGTAAACTAGCTATCCACAATGGGATAACATCATGATAATTGATCATATCAGCTGCCAGTGGCATGAGTAAGACCAACATCTAATACTTGTTTACTGCTGCCTATTTTTTCTTTCATACAAATTTACTTTGTAACTGACTCCCATCTTTGACTCAAACTTGGAGTTGCAGCCATCAACTGAATTCAAAGACTCCCCTCAAAGTAACGACAGAAAGAGGTAAGGCAACTCATGCTATGACCATCATGGCCATCATGGACTGATCATGCATGGCAATCAGAACTTGTTCAATGACTCAGAGATGTCGTACTGGAATAGCGGCTACTCAGGCCAGCCTGAGGAGCATTTGCAAAGTCACAATGATGGTCCAGGTGGCCCATCAAGCTCCTTACCACCGCCTCAGCCATTGCAGTGGAGCGCATCTTTGCCAGCGAGCAGCTTCAGTTACAGTCAACCTGTAAATGACAGCAGCTACACGAATTTCGGGTCTCAGCCAAAGCTGACAGGTGGTAGCCAGCACCAGTCTGGTGTCCTAGTGCCCAACACCTTTCATTTGCAAGATTCCATGAGCAGCAGCTACCCAACTTTACAGCCACACTCACAGGTTTCTACAACCAGCATGTTTCAGCAGGCAGTTATTAACCACTTGCATCACAATTCTTCTAACCACATGCAGATCGGCCCCCAGGAACCACCTCTTTTCCAAACCTCCCTCAATCTGGCCTCTTTCAAACCGAGTATGAGTCAAGCGGCTTTTGCCTATGGCTCTCGTAACTTACAGCATGCAGCCACTAGTAGCCAGCACAAGCACAAGGCTTTCAATATTAGATCAGTGCCCAATGCGGCTGCCTACCCCAACTATCACACTTTATACCCGCAGGATTCCACAGGTGGCAGCTATCCAATCCTGTTGCAGTTGGAGCCAAGCCAGCCTGGCATTACAGCACCTGAGACTTTCCAATTGCAAGATCCTGCGGATGGCAGCTACCCAACTTTGGGGTCGTACTTAAGGATTTCTACAGGTAGTGCGTCTCAGCAGGTGGCTGCCAACCACTTGTATCATGGTTCTTTTGAACCAGCACAGAACACCCCAAGGGAACTACCTCATTTCCCATCCTCTCTTAATCTGACTTCCTTTAACCAGAGTACAAGTCAAGCAGCTTCTGCCTATGACTCTCATAATTCACAGCATGCAATTGGCATCCAGGACCAGCATGAAGCTTTCAATATTGGGTTGGTACCCAATCATGATGTGATTGCATACTTTGACTATCATACTTTGCACAGCCAGGATACTCATGATGAGTTCATACCCCAGAACGCCCCCTAGGGACCAGCTTATTTCCCAACCGACCTTAAACTGACCTTTTTTGATCCAAGTATGAGTCAACCAGATCCAAATCAATCAAGCTCGTCGGCTTTGGGCACATATCACCCAAATGACCCTAATTCCCTTTATTCTGAAGATCATCTCACAAAGTTGGGCCATAAAAGGTCATCATACCAGAAGATCTCTCATCCATACAAAGGAGTGCCTTTTGTCAGATCTGACATGCCTCTTCCCTCAGCACCATCACAGTCCACTCGAAGGACTGTAACATTGCAGATCGAATCTGCTGTAATTGATTGTGTGAAGGAGGACGCCTCAAGATTCATGAATCTCTTTCTGTTTCAGTCATCCCTTTATCCATCCACAAATGAGGTTGACAAGTTGGCCATTGCAGCACTCAAGTGTGCCATTGGCAAACACCCAAAGAATGGTATTTGTTCTTTCTACATTCATTCTACAACTCATGGTGGTACACAGGTGGCGAACTTAAGGAATGGAAGTCAAGTACTGAAGGCCAAAAGTTTCTTTCAAGGCTGAAAGGAAATGTCAGAAAGATTCACAAGGACTGCTCCCAGGGTTGTGCTTGGGGGTTGGTCACCAGGACATATGATCTATCCCTTCAACTTTTATTCATAAACACAAATCAGATTGCACAATCGCGCATCACACACGTGTTGGCATTGCTGTTAAATAATGATTATCTTGACATTGTAGTTCAGGTAAGCACATATGTCAATGTTACTCAGCTCATATTTGATCTTCACTTCAGTGAGTCATGAGCGATGGGCAACTCAAGTCGTTTCGCATCCCATTTGGAAATACTTCCATCATCGGCATGGTGGAATACATATTGGTTGATCAATGATGTTGATGCTACTTATCCCTCAATAAACCTCACTGGGTGCTTGGCCTTAGGAATACTATCTTGCTTGCCGCAACATTCTGCAAATGGAAAATACGGCAATGCTCGAGGAATGGCTGGTTCTAAGATACAGATTTTCACACTCCAGAAAACGAGGTGTCCTATGGGGAATTGAAAGGGTGGATGTCATCATTGCAGGGCAATGAGCTGAAGGAGTTTTATGGACTCTTGGATTGCCTTCATGATTTCCTGGTAACACTCCTGGTCTGCCAAAGTTGATCAGACATAATAGTGCATACTAGTACTACTGTACATAGTCTTTAGGCCTTCACTGCATCATCTTTGTTTTTGGTTTGACTGTGACTCAATCCATTACTTAGAATAGTCGACATTGCAATGTATATGGTGTATCTTAGGTTCACATTGACAGTAGTACATATCTTGCACCTAACTGTCCTTTGTTTGCAGATGGAGGCACCTCCTGTGGACATGGATCTTGGCACTCCATGATATTAATAAATCCTCTTCTATTGTGCCTACTGACCAGTCTAGTTTGCTTGGGGGTCATATCGGCATCTTGCACATCCTCAATAGCTCCCTATCATTTGCTTTGTCTTTCCCAAGGCCAGCCTTGTCAATATTGGCAAGGCTTCAAGTACATCACTCTCACATCTCAGTACCTGGCCTATGAGAAATTCCATTTCTGGATTCCTGTTTAAGACTGCCCATGCCAGTGCCCACTACAATATCCTCCATAACACTGTCTCTGCGACATCACCTCCCTGCCTCATTACATAGGCTCAACTTGAACAATTTGGACTTGGAGATAGTAGTACTAAGTACTAGTTGGCTCGTGTCACCTTGCTCTGTTACATATTCATCACATGCTACTTTTGACACCTCTGCTCATGTCCTGACCCCAGCCATGGAGTCAGATCAATTCAATGTGGCAAATGAGGACAGGATAAATGACATGTTCCTTGCACCATGTCAAATCGATGGTCACTCAAAAAAGTAGCAATCTGACTCTTGGCATGTCATACATGTGCCTTAGACCAATTTCAGAGGTCAGTGTTAACATCAATGTGCTTGCTTTGCCTAACAAGTCCATTTCCGGCATATGGAATTTAGTAATAGTTATTTGAAACCTTCCCGGCATACTACCATGTGTCTCAAGACAGCTGTGTTTCTCAACTCTGGATGGCTGTCATATAAAATGGGGGCAGGATTATTCAACTTGGAAAGTCCCTCATCTCCCACCCTCTGTCATAGGCTTAATTTCATTTTCTTCACCTTTTCGGTAGAATTCCATGTCTCTCAGTCAGGTGATGGTGGAGGACATTCCCCACCCTCCAGAATCGTCACAGTCACTTGTGGTGGCAACATCTGAGAGTGCTCATCAGAAGCGGAAAATTGCTGCTTTAGAGGAAAAACTACAGATACTGGAGTCGGGGCATGTGGTCAAACAAAGGTATCACTGTCATTTACTTCTAGTTCAGTTCATTCAATATAATTTTCAGGGAGACAAACTACTACATGTCGGAAGGAAGAGCCATCAGACACATTGTTACATTATTTGATAACATCAAAGACTTAGTAATATGCGAGAATGATAGATGGTGCAATATGGATGACAAGGATGAAGATATGACTGTCGAGTAAGTCTTTCTTTTACCTATGCTATGTGATTGTTGACCACTGGTTCATAATGATAGTCAAAATTGTTTGCAAACCGGTTATATAACACTTAATCATGCCCTGTCATGGTTTCACTTCAAGGCTTCAGACATGGAGTATGATGATTACTCATATATGCTCAAAAAGGTGCTCTTATCAATGCAAACCATTTGCCTGCTACTAATTCCTTATTAAGCTCAGGCAGGGAGCTGATGCTGCTCGAGGGGATGACACTTCGAAGTTGAAGAGCCTCATTGCCGATTGGATCAATCGTGAATTGAAGCCAGATTCCCTCGTCGACCCCAAGGACAAATACTACCATGGGTTTATTAATGATACGTGTGGCAGACTACTCCGCCCAACTGAGCTAGACTGGAATAGCCCAACATAAGTAAAGTATCTTACTCAAGATCTTGTGCAACACTAACTATACAATAGCATCAGAGCAGGAATCAGGGATCGTGCAGAAGGCTATGTCATAACAGAGATGTCCTGGCCAGCGTTTCTGTATGAAAAATACACAGCAGATCAGGACAATCTGGAGCAAGGCCTCTTCAAAAGCATTCTTTCACTTCAGGTGAGTAATTCTCCAGTCACTCAACAAAAATCTCACTTTTAGTAGGTTTTCAAAGCAATATTCACATCACCCTCCTCTGCAAGGGAGGTTGTGATGCTGCCAATGTAATTGAAGCTAACTGACGCACTGTAGGGATACAACAATTGCTGGACACTACACGAAGTAAGTAACCAGCAATATAAAAAAGTGTTGTGGTCGTGCACAGCCTAGTCTGCTATACTTGCAAGACAAGTGTGTTCGACCCGAGGGGTTTGCTATATGGTTTTAGAATAATCAGTTATATGAAAAGGAAGATAGTCCAAGGTGCGGGAAACAAAGTCTGAAGGTATAATTATGAGTCCAATGTCAAAAATGTCAGGTCTGATGTTTTCGGGTTTGCCTTGGGTTGCGTTGGGTTAGCGTTGGGTTTGTGTTGGGAATATAGTGAATGTCGGGGATAGCGAATGTCAGAAGTTTCAGAGTATTTCAGATAATGAAAGGATGATATTTGCGGAATTCAGCTAAGAACTACGAAATATCGGGTTTGACCACTAAGTATCGGGAAACAGCTCCCTACTACTTGGATGATGATAATACTCGTAATCAGTCAAATATATATGTAAGTACATAGAAATCCAGAATCCTATAGGCGAAAGTAGTGGCCGACGATTTTGGATCCAAAATACATGTAAACTAACACAAGGCACTGCGGATGATGGGAAAACATGTGATAGTGCTGGCTACGACTTGAGTAATGTGTGAAATAATCAACTATGCACCTAGTGGGGCTAGCAAGACATAACAGGACACAGATAGGACAAGTGCACAGGATTTCGGGTCGGCTGATGCGGCCAAAACGTCGGGTCCACTAGTCAAGGCATCGGGTTTGCGTCGGGTTGTGTGGGTTAGTGTCAGGTTACATCAGAAAGTAACGGGCATTAGACATGTATCGGGAAATCAATGAATATGTGCTCAGCACGAGCTCGAGTGCTACAGCACTAAAAAGGACTTCAATTCATGCAAGAAAGTAAAGACACATGTAGCGCAAATAATCAAAATGCATGCCAACACGCCCCGCTCAATTGCATATGTAGCATGTCAGGTACGTTGTAATAGTTTTTAGTTTCCTTGCGGAGTGACAATATTTAACAAGTTGCGATTTGCCCTGTCTTCTGTGACCTCATGGTGCTCGGTTGACAGCAACTTCAACTACATACTATTTTGGCAAAACATTGTAGACTTCTTTGAATGGCCCCCTGGTCAAGCAGCACAGCAAAGGGTTACCCAACTCCTGGCATGGTCGTCGAGGTGCATTCTTTACACACTCAACAGTCCTCAATTGATCTCCATTTTTTTAGGAAAGTCTTCGGAACAAGTTGACGTGCAGAACTCGGTGATGGTGCAAAGGCCAGGATGTCTGTCAACACTCTCACAAGACAGAGAGCACAGCTGGACGATGCTCTTTTTGATTCAGAGTAGTTTATATCTGGTGCAAGTGCGGCTTCTATGGTTGTCACCCTGTTGAGCATCCATTTTTTTGATATTCAATAATACGGTATTATTACATTACAATAGTATCTCGCAATTGTGAATATGATGATTTAATCCTATCTCTTTGTTGTAAAACATCGGAAGCAAAGCATCTGAGATGGTACCTATGACACAATATACATCTCATGGGCATATTATAAATACAGTAAGTCAAGCTATAGGTTTGGATCTTCGTGCTTGTATTTTCAGAAGCTCAATCTAACATGATAGTGGTGATGTCTGTATTTCCTACTTTATCATTCCAGTCAGAAAACATGTATATACATGTGTGTTACAGGCATCTGTAACACCTACTGAAGCCCCAGCTCTGCCTATGCCTGCCCCCGCTCTGCTAGACTCCCCGCGCGGCGGTGCGCCGCCCGCGCCTAGAAAGATAGTGGTCTGGACCGCTGTGACCCCGCCCCTGGCGCTATGACCCGCCCCTGGCCTAGATGGCCTTGTACCTGATCCATGGAGGCTGTACGCCTCATGGTCACCCTAGATCAGCGCATGCATACCGCATGTCGCTTCATGAAGATCCGGAGCGCTCTCGGCGCTTCCTGTACCTATGCGCAGCTGCCCTTGGCGCAGCATGCTTGATCAGAGGTTAAGCCTCATGTACTTATCTGAACCTCATGTCTTGTTATCATAGATCCTAGATATACTATTGATTACAGACTGAGCTAGAATACTTGTAGTACTTCCCTATAAGTAGACAGGATTATTGTACTTAGACTTTACTTTAATCTACTAGGTTCATCCCCAGAACTTGCTCATCTAAGCCTTACCAGCTTCCTTGTGTGAGACCGCACTTCTAAGTCGCCCCCATACGACTTAGCACGTATCCGCTAGCCCTGCATCTCAACGAGCGCCATCTTACCGAGATTGCCGGAGGAACCCTTGACGTTCCGTCAAGACGAGAACCACCCTCAGCTTCAGTAGACTCACTCGAGTCGTCGCTGAGAAGACCTATCCTAGTTCGCACACGCCGACCGACAGTCAGCATAACATGTGAGGTGAGAGAAGTTTTTACTCATCATCCCACTTGCAACACGAACAGTATATATGTGTGAGGTAGCCAAACACAAGGCAACATTGCAAATGAATGCACAGACGAGCCTTCAGTTCAATACAAGACAGAAAGAATAGGTGTGTGAAATCACAACATGAGCCGCTAAGCATCTGTATTTCTTACTCATCAATCCCATCACAGAAGCAAAGTATAGAAGTGTGCAATAGCACAGCACAGGACAACAGTGATGATATCTATATTATCTATGTGTCATTCCGCTCAAAGGGGAAAAGGTGATACATACAAAGTAACAAAATTCTCTACTTGTCCCTCCACTTGCAATGCAGAAAGTATACACCTGCAATGTGACCAAATGCAGTGCAACAACAGAGATATGTGCATGTACTGATCTTCATTCCACTCGGAGGATAAATATTATTGACATCCAAAGTGACGATAATTATTGAACATACCAAAAAATCACAGTCAGGCTCGTGACAAGTGGGGTGATCAAGATATATTTTTGTTCTTGGGTTTTCATCCTTCATAACATATGTATTGGGAGTCTCCCGGACAGTCCTTTGTGGACAAAGGGATATAGTCATTCCTAGGTATCGCCCATGATAACAATATTGTTGCATTTCACAATGGAATAACTGAGGTTTCCAAATGCAAGCACAACCAATTATGTAAGCAGGGTGAAATGGCACATGATGTTCTACACAACATGAAGCAAAAACAATACTACATGAAGCAGCCATGGATATCCAGTAGAACAAAACTATACATACAAAAAAGACAGCCGAATGATCCAAATAAACATAAGATTCAGTTCTTCACCAATCACTATACAAAATGTTGTTGTCTGTAAGATACTGATATTCAGGTTTACCTTCCAAGTTGTAGACCTCAATCCCAATATGGTGGCCATGATCAATTGAGATGGACCATTGGCTTTTACCCCACCTACCACCTCAATTTTTAGTTGAACTAAACAATGAATTTTTGACAATTTGCCAAGCTGAGCACATCAATGAAGAATTTTCCTTTCCTCTATAAGGTCAAGCATGACAGTGTGATAGCCCATAGCAATGCTGGTGATTATCCACTATATAAGGTAATATTTGTCCATCTGAGGTTTCCGTCAGTTCACTGATGTATATGAATATAAATATTATTTGTTATTTTTTGAAATTCTGGACATCGGCCTTGCAAGGACATTGAGACGCACAAAAACTCTTAGAATGACTCAACCTGCCCTTACAATGCTTATGTGATCATTTCATGCCCTTAAAATGTTGGACTGGTCACACGGCACCCGGGACAATTATAATGCCTTTTCAGTTTTAATGATTGGTGTAAGCTATTGTAGGTGCCTTCAAATATTATCTTACATCATTAGTATGCATTAAAAGGGCACCATGTGTCCTTAAAATGGCTTAAATTGACTTCGGAGGGTCGGTAGAAATTTCCGACAATTAGTCCCAAGGTGCCAGTTCTGCCCACAACACTACCCCGAGGCACATCGCTTAGTAAGCACTTGCTTGAGCTCAAACAGCACGTGGACCATCATGATAATATTGACTGTCAGTCTATCAGCATCTCCCATCAGGCCAGTTACTACTGGAGACCAGCGACAATCAAAATTGCTGCAGTCTACACATTTCCGATATTCTCGTGGTCTGGTTTCGTTGGAGGACGAAACCCATCTCTGGGACTTGTGTCTCCTTAGGAACCCTAAGAGGCACGCGGTACACCAGCACCACGGACTCATCTACAGACCGGTTATTTCAGACACCTCGATAGAGGATGAATACTCTCACAAGCTGTTCTGTGCCGTGCAACGTGATGAGTGGCAGGGGGTACCAGGCTAATAAATGCCATGCTCGCCGAGCTGATCACTCCCGCTTTCCATAGCCCACGCTACCTACTGCCTAAACAATGAACTCCGTATATAAGACCGGCAAATAGAGCTTGCGTGCAAGATCAATTTACCTTCACCGATGGCCGTATCACCTGGCAGATTTAAGGCTAGGCTGCTCGCTCACATTAGTCAACATGTTTCCCTCGTTAGCTCTTGGTTTCCTCGTGGCCGGGATTACTGCAGTCGCTGCAGCCAGAAGCAGTAGCTGCGTCGGCACAATCTCATCCTTGGACGACATTAGCAGTGCTATCCAATGCACGACGGTAAATATTAATGCGTTCACCGTCCCTGGTGGAAAAACGTTCGAACTGCAGCTGCTGGACGGTACCACTGTCAATGTTTGTGAGTGTGATCTGATACTTCGCTTTTCGCATCCCTGATTCTTTTTAGTGGGCGAGATTCAGTTCGGGAATTTGAGCTGGTCCGGTCCCCTATTCCGGGTGATGTGAGTGCAGGCACTACTACTTCAAGTGGCTCGGAGAACCTGATCAAGGCCGTCTTGACAGAGGGAATGACGTTACCTGTACGTGGGTTATTTGAAGCCGTGGCAATCCCTAACGTTCTCAGTCAATGGAAACAACCAGAGGTGGGATGGTGGAGGCCCTTTTTACTGGGTAAATATACTAGTTCACTCGCGAGGATTTCGCTTCATCTTACACTGATACAGGACGGTCAAGGTGCCAGTATCACAACACCACACCCAATGATGCAGTAAGCTCATTAATTACTGTTGTGCTACGATCTTTTTTAATCTTACGTTTGCCAGAATATCGATCTCGGGCACATTGAACGTATGCGCTCGAATTGCCCCAGCCGTTCCAGGCAGATCGCTGACTGTTTATGTAGGACGTTTATGTTGTAAACTCTCCCTCCTCCGCCTTTGCGATCACAAATTCAGGACCTCTCACTATCTCTGGCGTCACTGTCGATGATTGTGCGTAGTTGCATGTTATCAGCGGTGTATCTCATTTTGACGTCAAGAACAGTGCAGGGTAACTATCCCAACTCGCGAAGCGTAAACGCCGCTGCTGGTAAGTGACGTGTTCATCTATCGGACAGTTTTAAACTTGCTGGCCGACAAGCACACAACACCGACGGCTTTGATGTCAGCGGTAGTGATTTGCTCATTCAAAATTGGTTTGTCTATCCTCTAGTTCCTCAATCGACTCAGACACTTACGAGCATTCAGCACTGTCCTCAATCAGGTCCGTCTGACGATTGAGCTTCCACGTCCCTTCACCTACAAAGTATTTCTTTTTGCAGGACGATTGTTTAGCTATCAATGGGGGAACGAATATCACATTTGCCGATAACTACTGTGCATACGGTCACGGTATCTCCATTGTGAGCCACTTGATCAATTTTGCGAACCAAATTATTGAAATATTTCTCGTCCAGGGCTCCATCTCGTCAAATGCCGTCGTCTCCGATATCGAGATTATCGGAAACCATGTTGTTAGCAGGTGACTACGGCACAATGGTGAATTATAGTTGTACTGACACGAGTAGTGCATACTCGTTCCGTATCAAGACCGATAAATCTGCGACAAACAGTGTAGTGAAGAATGTTACGTATAGCGTGAGTGGTTTTGATGATGATGATGATGATCCTGGACAGATTTTTTGTAGGACAATACTGCAACCAACTGTACCGGTTTTGGCGTTCTGATCACCCAGGTACGTGTGTTTTACCACGCTCTCCCGTCGTCACTCATATAACATATCTACAGAGCTATCCCTCCAACCTGGGTACCCCAGGCAACGGGGTCACCATCTCTGTATGTGTTCTTTCAGTTTTATGTCGACAATGGTTTCACGGGTTGTCTCAGGATATCAATTTCAACCATGGGACCACTTCGTTGACGGCCAACAAGGGTGCTTCCAGGGTTGCAGTGAACTGTGGAAGTGGATCGTGCACAGGTACACGAGTTACAGTTTTCCTCAGTCCATTTCTGACGTACCATGATAGGTGTCTGGGATTGGTCTGGTTTGCAGACAAGTGGCGGTAAAGCTGGATCGATCATCGACAATAATGTCATTGCTGGATTCGTTGACACACAGTGAGGTGACCCACCGTGTATTGATATATACACTGGCTATTACTTCTCCTGTCGCTCTTGCTTGTTGGAACTATATGGTGATTCACCATCACTCAACCACCGTTATATAAAGTAGACTCGTATTGACTTAGACTAGACTCACCACACTCGAAGTTGTTCTAGTGACCTGGCGCTTAGCTTCCTTGTGGTCAAAACAACATACAGATATCGCTCTTTTTCTTACACTTTTCTTACACTGTCGTTTATGATATACCTACACTTACAAACATGGCCTTGGACTCTGGAGAAAGTTGATCAAACATACCTACCATTTTTGGAGGGAGTACGTAAGAGGCTTGACACCATTTTTGGTTGTTGCAAACTGCTGTAAGCTTCCAAAATCTTTCTCTTGAAGAGCTGTAAAGCATCTTTTGATACTTCAACTGTAACCAGTCAGGAGGCTGGGATGGAGAAGTCAAACACCTGTCACTCGATATCCACGTCTTCCAGTTACTCAAGAAACACTAGCACGCCTTCCAGTTCTCCGCCAGTTGGTACCGAAGTCTATCACGATATATCAAGACCACGCATCGGAATCTCATTGGTTGACCAAGGAAGCATCACCGAAATTATTACGAGCTCCAATTTACGCGCATATATCCACACTGGATACCTGTCTTCCGATTTTAGTCCAGTTGCTTCAGTCACTCCTGGCTACGAACACGAGTTGGACGATATATCTGGAAGTCCCCCACCACCTTCTTCCTCCCCGATTGCCTACCCAGAACTTGCTGGCTACGAACACGTGTTGGTCGATATATCTGGAAGTCCTCCACCACCCTCTTCCTCCCCGATTGCCTACCCAGAACTTCTTCCTCACGAAGACGAAAATGAGGAGACGCCCTGTCATTCCCCTTCGGGCTCTTGCAGATACCCCCTGGGTTCACCTGCTCATGCTGAAACGGAGTCTGCGAATATTACGAACTGCTCAAGAACGAAACGTCGACTGCTTAGCAACACTCCAGAAAACACGCCGTTTGTTCAATGCACCTCTGAGGCTCCTTCCGCCAGACTCCAGTTGGAGAAGAAGTCCATGGTCAAGCCCTCAATTCCTTTGTTGACTGGCCTTGCGCGTCACAGCAGAATGTGTTCTGAGCGGCGTTCGAATTCTTATCATACCATGGTATATCCATCGAGTCGGCTAAGGACCAACAAAACCTTGAGGACAGCAAAGTCACTACCAGGACCCCAATCGATCGTTGGCGACTCGAGCGAAGGATGTTTCAACAACCGCGGAACTCTTCCACTTGAGGACCTAGGAGAATATGCGGAGCAGGAACCTCCAACAAAGAAAGTTAGGATCTGTCGTCTAGCCAGTGATCGTCCTGATCTACCCAAGATACGGACACATTTTTTGGCCAAGGAATCAGCCAGTCTACGCAGAGCCCAATCTCTTGTTTCACAAACTTCTACTGATAGGGACGACGAGGACGTAGTCAAGGTTCGTTGAAACGATCTCTTGTCAAAATGCCGTGTATACTTCTTCGCGTGGAAGTTGACACGCAATAAAACAGCTTTTGGACGGGCTGAACCCTTCAACTGGATCGGTACTTCCAACCATCTACCCGACAGTTCAACTCGATTCGCCTATATGCCCCCCTACTGTGCCAATCACACCTCTTCCTGACACAGTTAGCTATTTTCGTGCAAAGAGAAACCCTCTTTTACGTACTCCCGCCGTCCGCGCGCCTTCTAAACAATTGCCGAGGATACCACCTGTCCCTATCATCGCGCCTCCCAGGTCTCCTAGCCCTTTCATTATCAAGTGCGAGGAAGATCGGGCGGGCGATCGGATCAAGATTCTTCTCACGAAAGAAAGAGAAGAGCGCAAAAGCGATGGCCTGAGCCTTCCTCTAATTCCTGATGATTGCTCCAACCGAAGCGAGAGTGAGAGTTCTGTTTCCGACGACGAATACTGGGCCGAATCGCCTTCCGTCTCTGAATCCGAATCCGTGGCGAGTCAAAAGTCAGATCCATCTCTGGGCACAGAAAAGTCTGGAAATCGCGAACAATGGTCAAGGGCGCTCGGACTCGACGATTCCTTCCGCAAAGAAGTTGTTGGTTGGATGTTGGATGCATGAGTTGATCTACTCTTTGTCATTGAGCTTGCTGACAAACTCACAGGTCCTCCCAAACATCCCTCCGATGAGAAATGACAGCGTCGACATCGATGACCTTTTTGACCAATTGGACACCTGTCGAAACACAAGGTTTCATGCGGTTCATCTCTTTTACAGATATCTCCTCCGTGTTGCAGATAAGAAACTAAGTATCAACCTATCAACGATCGCATCGCATGCCCAATCTTCAAGAGGGTGCGACGACTCTTCGACAAATAGCAGGGCATCGAGTTCGGAAGATAGCGATGATGAATCCACCGGCGAAGACTGGGACGACGGATTAGATGCTGCATCTGATGTTACAGTCGTAGTGAAAGGAGAACAGGTAAGTGGATATGAGTCCGAGTCAGACAATTGGCAGGATGGTCAGGAGTCGGTTATATGGGATACCGCTCTTGGATCATTAGCGTTATGCGTCAAGGTAAGATCATTTTTAGATCAACATTCATAGAACACTTATTTGTATTTGGCAGTTTCATCGTGACTTCTTGTGCCCACTGAGTCCCGTATATGCATACGAATTCTTGGATTTAGCACGGCATTCCATGTCGTATCAGGACCTCGAGGTATCATTACATTGACTCGTCATGCGTTGATAGCGGTTTCTTTTTCCTCATACTATGGTTGCCCATCAGGTTTCACAACGCGATATACTTGCCGCTTTCGATTTCTGTATCGGTAGCATCACACCGCAAGGTCTCATGGATGAACTCTGGCTAGCTTTACCTACGCTACGGAAGGCTACAGAACCTGTGAAGGATGGCTGGAAATCAGTCCAAGTTGAAATATGGGATAGGCTGTTTGACGCCTTAATAGGTACCCTCTCTTGATCATATTTTATCAGCTATAGCATTAAGTTTGACCATGCCCCAGAACCTGACGTCCTACAGTTTCCTATTTCGCTGCTAACCGCCTCTGCCGTGATCGACGGTCTCATCATTGCCATCGCCCGCTATTACAAAGCCACAGCACGGAACTCTGGGTGTCGTTGCTCTCCGTCGTTAAGTTGCACGCCAGAAAACACCACCAAGCAGGTTCCCTGGAAGGTGTATGTATCCAAGGCGATGGATATGGTGAAGGATGTCGTTTTGGATGTAACTGACGTTCTTCAAATACGTGACGTGAGTGTCCTTCATTATATTCGACCTAATGGAGAGCTACCTAACGTTTTCATCAGGACGATTTGGAGCGCTGTAGAGCATGGATGAGCCAGGTCTAGTTTTTTTGTGCCTTCGTTTTCTTCACATCCGATTTTCCTACATTATATTGATGATTGATGGGTTGTATTTTTGTTGCGTGTATTATTGTGTAATTACAGAATTTCAAGAATCACCAAGACGACTTGCACAGGAGGTGAATTGCACTCAGCTCGGCGTTGATTTTGGGAACACGTGACTGACGCATCACAGTCGATTTGTCAAGCACAATTATATTGAACGTCCAAGGAGCACAAATGCTCACATCGCGTCCAATATCCTGGAATTGCTTGCCATTCAATGTCTTGCCAGCGAACCATGCATCCGACTTGAGATACTGAATAAAGCCTCACGCATCGCCCTGATTGGTTTCGTACTATCTGCCTCGTTCTTTGTAGAACCCGTCGTCCGATAAAATCAATACTGATGGTTTTCTTCCTATGTCCACTCACCCCACAGACGTGTTGATTCAGAAGAAGGGTCGCCCACTCCCTCTACAGCAATCAGTTCTGCCACTTCTCGTCGTTTCCGAACAGTTGGCTAGATGATTGCCTGTATTCCTGCGCTACATGATAATCCTTTTTTACTTGCGCGTCCCTTGTACCAAATAACTCATGATGATTCAGGGTTCACCTGTGCAAGCATTTGTGAGGTAGGCATCGGTGACTCGGCTGAAAAATATTCAGAGGAGCTAGTCATCATCTTCCCCCAGACCAGGAGGACTTATGGAAAGACAGGCGGATATGTAAAGTGAAGCCAGTACCAAGCCCAGTCAGAATGTTTTCAGTTCATCCAACGGTTCTTTCACGACGATGATGACGAAAATCGTAAGCGTTGGGACTTGGGAGGTTGGTGGTCGATAGGAAGGGGCGATTTATCGACATCGGTAGCTTGACCCCCTTGGTATAACGAGCCACGTCGTAGTATACATCTCACTACCAGAATTGATATTGGCGATTGCGAGGCCCCAATTGGTTGGCGGGAATGGATGAGATCGAGGGCAACAAGTCAAGTCTTGTGATCGCGTATGGGAATACGTTTGGAATACATAAAGGCGTGGGAACGGGCTGTCCAGATCAATGTATACTCCTACACTTGGACAAGCGAATGCGAGCCTGAGAATCGAATTCATCAGAATCGTTTCATAATTGTCTTCTTCTCTGCTTTCTTCTTGTTTTCATCTTCACGACCGCACGACCACTGTCGCCAATCGGGGCCAGGTGACCTGCCTGCAACTTTTCCCAGAAAAAAATATATCATCATCTGCTTGTTATACCCGATACCATCATCTTCTCCGTCTTACAGATTCGCAATCACGACGTCGATTCCTAATTGAACCTTCAATTAATCCGGTCAACGATGGCACCAGGTCCAAAGACAGGCCCTGCGCTATTTCTCGGACTTGAACTTGCTACCGATCAATTGCGCGCTTCGATCGTGGATGAGAGCTTGGAGCTTGTGGGAGTAGAATGCGTTGATTTTGACACCGAATTACCTGAATATCAGTACGTGCTCTCATGTATATTCTGTTCTTCCGTGTCTCGCTGTCAGTAACTTGGATCCCCAATTGTTGCGACATATGCTTTCTTCATATCGTTTCTAAAGTCATTTTATTGGAGAGCTAATATTTTAATAGGACTCAGGGAGGGATTTTTACTACTCCAGGAGATGCATACACCACGCCAGTAGATATGTGGGTCAAGGCTCTTGGTGCGTAAACTGGCGGAAGCAAATTTTTTTTGCTTCGACTTAACCAATTTGGATTTTTGGGTATTTCTCCGATCACTTACCACGTGCGCGGGAACATTGTTTACTTCTCCCCTAAACACAACCGGCAACAGACTTTTTACTGGAGAAATTGACTAGGAATCACGATCTAACCAGAATAAAATCAATTGGTGGTTGTGCTCAGGTGACTCGCTCGTATCAAGTTGTGAAGAGTCCGTCCTGATGTGATACATACAACTTTACAGCATGCTCTCGTGTGGTGGAAATCGACACCTATTCCTTCATTTCCAGCGCTGGACCCGCGACTCCCGTTTCATTCTCAACTTCCTCCCAACACTTTCTCATTACCGAATACACCAGTCGCCCAGGATACGTCCGCACACACCCATGCTCTCGCCCTCGAAGCCCTACTTGGGGGGCCAGACCTCATGGCCGCTCGCGTCGGTACATGCGCTAACGCATCACTCTTAGCTGCCCAACTCCTCCGAGTTCGCGAATCGTGGACATCTGATGTCTGGTCACGAACGGGGAAGATACAGCTTGCCAGTCAATTTCTTGCAAGTATGGTCGTGGGGGAGTGGGTAAATATGGGAGAGTCAGAGGCCTGCGCGACCGGTATGTGGGTGCATGCCAGTGCTGGTGCTGGCACACAAGGTGCATCTGGACTGGGCCGCTGGGACGAGGGTGTTTTGGAGATCGTAGGTGGAAGCCGAGAAGAAGGTCGGAGAATCCGAACATGGCTAGGCGACGTGGAGGTCGCTAGTGGGAGAAAAGTGGCCCATATCTCGCGATACCTATGTGAACGATACGGATTTGAATCCGGTGAGATTCATTTGCTATCATGTGTGCGCAACCCACTGATAAATTTACAGATACGATTGTCACTCCCTTCACTTCTGATTACCTTTCCTCATACCTATCTCTCTGTCCATCTCCTGGAGATGCAGTGCTTTCATTTGGACCAATGGATACCCTTCTTACTCCTGCTCAACATTACCTACCAACTCGACTTTACAGCCTATTCCCCCACCCTGCCCAGGATGCCAGCGAAAAGCGACGATACATTGCCATGTTGAGCAGCAGGTATGCAATTACATAACCTCACATCTTCACAGCTTCTCACGTTTGTTTGCAGAAACGCTGACGTTCCGCGTGCTCTTGTAAGAGATATGTACACGAAGAGTTGGAGTGCGTTTGATCGGCTAGTTGCCATCGTGCCACCTGGTGGATCCATAGGGTACGTTCATGTAAACGAGTATTTATATTATTTCTCTGAAATTCTTTGCAGGCTCGATGATAAGCTCTTCAGTTTTTGGCTTCTACAGGGCGACAGTTACCCACTATCACACGTCAAAGGCATCTATCGCTTTGAGACTGGTATCAAAGTCAACGAATTCCGAGACCTTCGTGCAAACCCTCGGTGTCTTCTAGAGAGCCAGGTCCTCTCATTCCGCTTTCGATGGTCAAAGATGATTGCCACCGGTGTTCTTGGTTCGAATAACAACCGGTCTCGGGGGAACGTTGCCCAGACACCTGGTCCTACATCTCCACAAGGGCAGAATCCCCGTTCAAACATCGCATCCAGCCTTGGACTCTCCTTCGATCCATATGATTATTCCCCCCTCCCTGCAAGAATACTCGTCACTGGCGCAGCTGCCAACTTCCCCTCCGTTGCAAATCTTGCAGGCGATGTGTTCAATGCACCGGTATTCATGCCCAGTACCCAGGTTGATTCTGCTCAAGTAGTGCCCCACCGCAACGCACCTGCTACTGGCTTCCCTGGCCGTGCATCACTTGGGGGTGCTTATTTCGCGCGGTGGATATGGGGAAAGGAGCGTAGTTCTGCTATTGGTGGATCAAGTACCGGCCGAGGACTCGGCGGATTTGAGGAGGAGATTAGGAGGTTACACGGAAAACGCTGGGTCGCAAGCAGTGGTACCCCGTTGCGGACCAATGTGAATACTCCTGTGGGTGGGAACGGAGGCAGTGGAGCCAACAGCGGTACTAGTACCCCCTATGGCCATCGCTCGGGGCTGGGCTCCACTGTGTTTGTCGAGGAAGAGGAAGAAGAAGTGGAGGAGATGGAACGTGCAAGCGGTATACTCGCCTCCTCAGTGTTTGCAGGTGGCTTCGCAGACAGGGATCTTGGCAGGGACATCAGCCGCATGAGAACGCTCACAGGTTCTACGCTTGATACTGTGACAAGCAGTGGATCTATCGGGCCCTCGACTACATTCACAACTCCCGATCTTAATTCGGGCGCAGGGAGCCCAGGTGGAGGAGTTGGAGCTGTTGTGCCGCAGACAACCACGCTGACTCCTGTAACTGCCTTACCTACTTCTGATGCCGAGGCACAGATTGGGTTGGCGAAGGTCGCTGAGGCAGACGTTGACGCGTTCATGACGTACGCTGCTATCGTGCCTGAGTATTGCCGACTTGAGGGCATGCTCTGCAAGTCTCTTGTATGATCGGTGGAGGTGAAAATTTCTCGTCATATGTATGTGAGTTGGGTACAAAAAAACTACGAGATTTCATGATTTGTTGTATATATAGGATCTCATCAATACTTACGCGCCTTGGATATTTTATTGGAGACCATCGATGATCAATAAGTTCTCTGATAGTATTTCGATTCTCCAACTTGGCGTGAACATAGCTGTCGATATGACGCCCTTGTATTTGCCTTTGTACACGAGCATGCATAAAGCCTCACGTGGGGCCTAGTTCCTTCCTCTCCTGAGGCGCAAGGCGCAAGGAGATTCTACCCCTTAATCTTTCGTCATAGTGCCATCGATTATCAGCGGCGTCTTGCTGATAAAATCCAATTGATCGGATCGAACGAGCTCCTTTCAGCACTGAGTACTGAATATTGATTCGTGACTGGAGCTTGGTGATCTAAGGGGTCGAGATTCATGTCCAAGTTGATCGTTGACGTATTGCTCTGCCAGGTATAAATACAAGGCTGTTAGCAGCGTTCTAAGCACGCACTACCATGGCTTGCATTGAGAACCAACACATTTACACCCTTAGAAACTGTCAGGGAGGCACTGTCATCGACCTCTCTGGTGCAGACAACTACTCCCGTAGGCATCATCCCTGCTCCAGCCATCCAAGTCAGTGCTGACGTTGGGTTGACCTGTAGTCATCGGTTATCGCGACCACAATGGTCCCAACCAGGCGGTAATGTGTCACCAGTAATCATTACAGGAAGGACTGCACTGACGAGCTGGACTGTTCGCAGTGGATCTTCCACCATGATGATGATGACAGCTGGTCCATCAAGTCCGTCGGGGCTGATAAGTATCTTGGGATCGAAGGCGATGTGAACGACGCCGGTAATGGCACCAGGGTTGTTGCTGTCGGGTTCCCTTTCAAGTGGGACATCAAAAACTCTGACATGGAAGGCGTCGAAGGCATCAGGTGCGCATACTTGTGGGGTATGGCTGGACATGGATTGATTATCGTCGATTCTTTTTCTTTCCCTTGGCAGGATATTGCTCCATGGACATAAATTTAGCGTGGACTTGTCCGATAACGGAAATGCGACAGAAGGCACACCAGTTCAGCTTTGGACTAGGTGGCATGGTGCCAATCAGATCTGGGCGCCTGTCGAACGTAAATGGTGTGTTTGATTTACTTGACGACGCACCATATTGACTGACGTTGATCAGATCGTTTCTAGAACGTAAAAGAGCAGAACTCCTGTGCACTGTGATTTTTCATGTATAACAGAATACTCGTGAAAACGAAATATTGTCTAGTTAAATTGATGATCTTGCTATCAATCTCCGCTGGCTTGAATGCAGTTGTGGCCGTGAGCATGGCGGTTGATTGTCTCCCTTCATCACGGACACACGCGGTCTCACGTTTCTTCGATCGACAGTGGTAATGGCGGGCAGGTCGCTCAAACCCACGTGAGCACCTGTGGACGCTAATGGTTGGTACGTCGCGAGGACATAATCACTGTGGCACAACCGGCGGGCCTGGTTGGTTGTAACAAGTGCTCGGAGGTATAACTCACTTTTGAAATTATGTTTCTGTGATTGTCCGCACACACATCCTTCTGGTATGTGTGCGAGAAAAGTCCTTTCGTCTGGAAGGCATTCCATCATGATATCGAAGAATGGTACCCCGTTGACGTGGAAAAATTGCAACCAAGAACTCGTAGATCCACTCAGATGTCACCAACTGGAAACGATGAAACCTTGCTGTCCAGTGGAACTTCTTCACTACCGTCCCACTTATCCGATATTCCTCCCGGTACATGTAGCCTGAGTACGCGTGAACCCATGGAAAGGCGCCTGGAGAATTGTCAAATCAGAAGAGAACAGCCTGAGGAAATTAGAAATTCACCGTCAACGACAAGTTGACTTGCTCGTAGATATAGTCCCAGTACAAACTCAGTCATTCGGCAAACGACGAGAATTATCAGCCATGCGCCATCAGATCCAGATCTCATTGTCACCAAATGCCGATTACACTTCCACTCGTATCGTTACACGATTCTCCATTATATGGGCGCACTGGTATACCCCTTCTCATGGGAAATATTCCACGGAACACACTATCCTTCTTACCGCTTCAATCAGTTAACAGCTATACTCTTCAAATAATCGACGCGGTAAGGGTTCACATCTGTCAAGTCGCCGCGGTTGATAGGAGTCCACTTGGGCTCATCCTGTGAAGGTTTCTTGTAAAGACCACCAGTAAAAAAAAACGGCAAATACGAACCTTGAAGAGACGTAAAGCTTTGATCATGTTATTCTCGTCAAGAGTGAATCGATGGTAGATGCCAGCAGGGAGAACCAAGAGATCACCCGCGTCTAGCTGACAACGAATCCACGAATCCGTGGGATGTTCTGGATGACGAACTATCAGAGTATGGCATGGAATGTGTGATTCTCTGCTCACCTCGAACATCGAAAAAGCCGCTGCCCTCGAGAATATATCTGATCTCCTCGTCTTCATGCATATGCCTGGTATTCAAGTTGTTGCCGAGTACAGACACGATGTTGTGAAAACAGAGCGTACTCTTCATAAAAGCTCTTTAACTTGGCTTCATACAAAGCTCCAAGGCCCTCCTTGGTGATCGTAATAGTGTCTCTGTTCTTGTAGTTTCTTTCCTCTGCAATAGTATCGATCTGATTCTGCTGGCTCGTTGGGATGTGCCAGTGGAGTAGTCCGATAGATTTCAGGAGATCATCCGATACAAGGTTCCCGGAATCGTGCAGCAGCCGCTGATCGCCTGGAATGTTATCGAAGTAAAAGGCGCGCATGGTGATCACTGATGGTACCGATCCTCGACTCCTCCCACGTTAGCGGAGGTCTTGATATTACTAAGCTACTAGGGTTCGGCGTTGCCTTCAGTGACACCGTCAGTTCTGCACATTCCTTCTTATGTAATACTTTCAGCACAGGTAGAGGCGTCCACACTGCACTGCTTTGCAGATAAGAGACTGGAGAGGCGCCTAGTAGTAAGCATCCTCTCATTATCTTCATCCACCATGCAGAAGGTATCTGATTCAGTTACATCAATCTTCAAGTTGGAAACTAAGGAAGAAAGCCTTGCCAAATGCCTACAAGGAGATTCAACCATAGTTTACAGCAAAAAGTTTGGATTGGGGTGGCGTTTTGGGCTGCAGTACTCAAAAAAAGGCTGGTCTTTTGCCAAAGTGAAGGTTTACCTCGATTATACCCATTGTTTGCCGTCAGCGACAGATGCCGCCACGGTGACTGTTTGTCTTAAAGATGGGTCTACTCCGGAGGTTCCTTCTTTTGACAGTAGTTCGGTCTCGATTGCTGATGTTGACCATCGCTCCCTCTCGCTGATTGGCTCGTTCTGGCCATCCGTTATTGCTGCACACCCTTATATGTGGTTTACAGTCGCTATGAAAGCAACCTTTGCTCCAGAAGTCATCGCTAGCGCCCTCATCAATACTGCATCTGCTCTTAGGCAGTCCATGAACAACGGCGAATTCACCGACACCAAGTACTATGCCATGTCCAAGCGTAGAACTGGGAGATTTTTGGGAGAAACTCGTGCCGTATATGCGAATAGTGCAATTTTGGACCACGGCGCCGGTGTCGCGCCAGTTCTCCCTTGTCGGTGGTTTCTCACCTTACCTTGTGGACGAATAATAATGGATCTATCTTTTAGCATCTATCAGTGAAAATTCCTTATTCGTTCATTACCACAGCCAACAGAGGCTGATGATGGACGCCGAGCAATCATCTAATTTTGACTTCGCCGACAGCGACATCGAGTCGGAGGAAGAAGTAGAAGAGTCTAGCAATCCCCCACCTTATAGCAGAAGCCATACCGCTGTGGCGGCACCTTCTGAGTTTGATGCATCCAGTGATATCACTTCCGAGAGCAGTGCTTTAAGTTCGGATGATGACAGTGAGTCTGTCTTCTCCCTGCGCATGGGATGATCTCTTGTGCTGATCTGCTACTTAGACGACAACTGGACAGAACGGGCGGCTCAGCAACATCCAGGTTTCCGCTCGACGGACACATTGAGGACTGAGCCGCAGCCTCGACCCTTGTCTCCGACACAGCAAATAGTGTTGGTTCGGAACACGGCATTCGCGACGTAAGCTGCATTTGCTCTGACTACTAGTAGCTCAAAATGACTCACGTGCAGCTGGGCATCCTATGTATACTATTGCTACACTGGCCAGGTTTCTTTCTACCCCCTAAAGTCCAAAGATCCGCTCGGCCGGCGCAACAATACAACCCAAACTTTACGCTGCTCTCCCAAGTCAATGTACCGACTCGCCTTGAAGGTTGGTGTGTCTCACCCGTACTATGCACACAGATTAACAAGAATCCTGAAGTTCAAGAACGCACATTTAGAAGCTCTGGCATTCCAGGCAATTAAATCTGATTTATCCCAGAAAAATATCTTGGATGAGGCGTTCTCACAGTTCACATCTCAGTTCGCCTTTCTTGTTCTCCATCGCGATCCTCGCTGACCCCCGATCACCACAGGTACCTCGATATCGAAAAAATGGAACTAAAACTCTTGACAGAGTTCCGTAATGCACCCGAAGTATCAAGTCGTCTGAATGAGATCCTTGAGAGTGTTACCCGAGGAGAAAGGCCTTATGCACATGCTATGCTTCATGGCTTTTTAATAAATTTGGCACGGCAGGGGGCAGGTGGTACGAAGTGAAGTCGCAACAGTTATTTTGTCAGTTGTACTTGTAAGTCGCGTTGTCCCAAATGTTGTCCTTGTGTTGTTATATTGTCTTTCACCTCATCGTACGTCACGGTGTTGTATCATTACTTGTAACTTGCCATGTATGCACAAGGTTTACCGACTGTCCACCTATTGTAAAATTTACTATTGCGATGTTACGGCTTAACGAAAGTTTCAAAAACAACTGGTTATTCGAGATAACGTAGTGCGTAGTAGCACACTGTATATCGCACCAATATTATTGAAGCTTTGAAGTTCTGTCTACCAACGGGAAAAAAAACATGGGAACAGGAGCTTGAAGGTGTGTTCTAACGCATGTACTAGTTCTTACCCATTTTGATTTAATGCTTGCACACAGCTGGCTGCACACGTCGACAGTCGAAAGGAAACCGGTTTTGAGTCTCTACGGGGACAGTGTTCACTCACGATTATCTTCATTTTACATATCAGATTGAAGTTCGATGCTCAGCGCTCAATATGTGACTCGTCAGCACTCCAATCGTCAATGGCTCGTTGGAAATGCCAGCTCCACACGATAGACTTTTGAAACTTCAAGTGCTGGCAATATGCTGGCAATATGCTGGCATTGATCGTAGATATGAAAGCACACCCACGCATGGTGACAAGAAGTCCAAAGAAAGGTGCATCAGAGGACTGGTGAGCCGCAGATATTGTCATCTATTCCGATGTATGATCATATATAGAAAATGTTGGAATATATAAAGTCATATAAAACCATGTAGAACCACCACAATCAACGTAAAGCACCCTGGGGAGACTCACGAGTTCTCTGATGCGTTATACAATCGTCTTCGTCGTCGTTGCTGCTTTAGCATCATCCATCTCTGCCTTGCCCACTACCGATGAAGTCGCTAGCACCGACTCATGTTCCAAGGCTTGCATTCTTGACTCACAATGCAAAAGTCCAAGCTGCTTTTGGAATCAATGCGTGAGTATCAAAAATTTCCTGGACTTTATAACATGGCTCACCTGCATGGCAGTCCATTCTTTTCTTCTGCACAGTGAGTTGTATTTTCGTTTTTACATCGGTGGAGTATGGCCGTTGACACTGATGCGCGAGTTGCTAGTGATTGATAGAAGTCGATCAACGTACATCAGGAAAAAATGAAATACAGGGAAACTGTGCGAAGAATACTATCAAGGGGCCGTCAGAGACGCGTAGGGGCACAGGGGCCCCTTAGGCTAGCAAGTATTGTCCAACATAGAGTATGTACTCTCAATGGACGAAAATCGGATAAAAAAAGGGGGGCGTCCACCAGTACGCAGCCTCACACTGATGGTGTGGAGCTTCGAGTTGAAGATCAAATATAAGACTTGAGTGTGTATGCATACGATAGACCCAATAACAAACACACCTAGGTCCTGCATATTGTACAACTTTCAACACCGAGATGATATGATTGTCCCGGCAGATCAAATACATGACAAGTGCAGAATCATTATATCGGAATCTGAATATTCAATCGACATGAACGAGTGCATTACTGTCACGTGTCACATCATTACAAGGGATCCGCGGCCCGCAGCAGGAACATACGTGTTGAGGACTGGGCGGGTAGGCATACACTCACATTTTTATTTTCATTGGCTGTTTCCAAGCCAACTCTAGTAGGTTAACATTTCTTTGATGTGATATTTCCGCGCTAGCATTTTTGAGTCTTAGTTGTGTTGCCCTGCTTGTACTAGTACTTCATTTATAATCAAATTTCTATTCCGGACTTGATATCTCCCGCTGTGTTTTGTCACGTGATATTTGAGCACATGCACTGCGTGCATGAACGATTCTGTTAAACGTCTACATACCATTCGTCTACCGGCCGTACCTTCTAATTAATTAGCCCTGTATCCAATATGACTACAGATAATGCACTACACGTGCTGCGCGCCCTGGTGTCCAACGATCGAGGTGCTGACGTGGCGGATTCAGAAACCCAGGATCATGATATTTATTTAACCTTTGAAAATTTACAATACGCCCACATGATAGAAAAACTCTATTTTTCAGTGAATATATCAGAAATTAGCTCGAGTTTCTGGAGAAGGTGGAAGATGCGGCTATGTTTTCAGTAACGGTCACGGGACTTACTACGGGGTCAACAACCGGGGTCTTTAAACTTCCGACCAGCGGTCACCAACCTCAGCCCTCTTATCTACCTGTACCCATTAGGAGAGTCCAGGAAAATTTCGTCTCTCAGTTGGAATGGGATCTGTCACCTATGGTCTCAGGTATCGATTCAGCCAGTTATCCGCCAATCAGAGCACATATCGTGTATGCGGTTAGATTCAACTTTTCGCCGTTCACCAGAACAGTCTTAGTATGACACATTTCCGGCACCCAGTCAGCGCGATCGCAGCACAGTTGGAAATTTCACTACACGGTGCAGCGGTCTGCTCGCAGAGCCTAGAGGTCGTTATCAGGTTAGCCTCTACTAGAGGAAACTTGGACCCGTTCTCAACGATACGGTACTTAGTACTAGACTAATCGAGTTGCTGTGCTCAAACTAACTTCATAGGTACCGCCCAGCCCCTGAAACCATGGAACCCATACTCTGCTACCTTGAACGAAGTGCATCCAGACATAATCAAGTGTTTGCTGCTTGCAAAAACCTGATTTTGAAACGGAATGAATCGGAGACATTGGCAGACACATATGTTATCGTGTCTCAGGTGTGACAGACAATGTCAACACTAATGCCGCAAAGACGTGGTACCATCCGTCATCGCCATGATCCAACCTCCGCGATTATCCCTGATCTCTAAGACCAACTTTATTAGCCTCTTTTCATGTCGTCCTGTGCAAGCCTGTCCGCCGCTTCGTACTAGTTTTCTGTCACTATACAACCACAACTTCACTAGCTTGAAACCATCAGCAACGACCTTCAGCGCTCCGAGGTCCGTCTATCGTCTTTTCTTGTATAAAAAGGATCTCCAGTATTCTTTCATTTGCATCAACAAGCAGCCTCTTGTTTTTATTTCTTTCCCACTCTTCCCCCATAGAGCATATCAACTTATATCTAATCACTCATAACACATAGATTAACATTGCAATGTCGCCAGTACTCCCAGTCACCCTCCATGACGTTCTCTCTCAAGCTACTGAACGGTACCCTTCCCACGAGCTCGGATTCATCACATCTTCCGCTCACGACTCTTCCATTCGAGCGACGACATTCAGCTCCTTCAACCAGTATGTGCGCAACCTCGCTCGCGCTATGCTGGATTGGGGAAAGCCCGTTGGCTCCGTTATCGTTGTCTACCTGACCGAGCACGAGGATAACATGGCCGCTGTTTGGGCTTGTCTCCTTGCAGGCTACGTTCCATGCTTGCAACCCGCCCTTAGTGCCCAGCAGGCTCACAAGGAGGGCCATGTTGCTCATATCAAAAACCTGTTCTCGTCCGCTATCTGGCTCACTAATGAGTCCGGCGCTGACCAGGTGAATTCCATCAGCGGTCTGGATATTTACCTTCTTTCGGAGCTCAAGGCTTCAGCTTCGAAATACCACGTTTCCGCCGACTGGGTCGCCCGTACCCCCCAGCCAGATGATGAGGCAATCCTATTTTTAACATCTGGATCAACTGGCTTCTCCAAAGCAGTTGTCCACAGCCATCGTACTATTTTGGCCGCTTGCTCCGCCAAAGGAGAGGCTTATGGGTTGACTTCAAAGACTAATGTACTCAACTGTAAGTTGTCTTGTTCGCTGTCGTTTCCGATATTGATATCTGTCCAGGGGTCGGATTCGACCATGTCGCGGGTTCTTTGGAAATGCACATCACCCCCTTGTTGTTTGGAGCCTCCCAAATTCATGTCCATGCATCTGCTATCCTCTCCGACCCACTTCGTTTCCTCCGTCTGATCGACGAGAAGTCCATCAACGTTGCATTCAGCCCTAACTTCTTGCTTGCGAAACTTACACGGGATTTGGAGAAGAGGTCCGATCTCTTCGGAAGTTTCAACCTTTCTTCCATCAAGCGCATCAACAGCGGAGGGGAGGCTGTCATTTCGAAGACTGCTCAATCATTTGTAGCTGTCCTCAAGAAACTTGCACAAGACCCCCTCAAGGTTTCTTTCGTAATCTCACCTGGATTTGGTATGACCGAGACTTGGTGTGTTATTTTTAACCTACACGGAGGCATCAAACTCAATTAATGTTAATATTAGCGCGGGGTGTATCTACGAGCCGGTGGATCTTAGCACTACTGAGCCAAAACACGAATTCCTCGATTTGGGTCGCCCTGTACGTGGTTGCGAGATGCGTATAGTCGACCCTGAAGACGGCAAAACGATCCGCAGGGACGGAGAGAGTGGCGAGCTGCAAGTCCGTGGCCCCATGATTTTCGTTCGTTACTACAACAACGCGGAGGCCACATCTTCCAGCTTCGTCGATGGTTGGTACCGCACCGGTGATGTCGGCATTATCGAGGATGGTGTCATGCGTCTCAGTGGCCGCATCAAAGACACTGTGATCGTCCACGGTGTGTCATATGGTATTCCAGAGCTGGAGACGCACCTCCAGACTGTCGAGGGTGTCACGCATTCGTTCCTTGCTGCTGCTCCCTACCGTGCACCCGGGCAGGAGACTGAAGGTTTCATTATTTTCTACTCTCCCACTTTCGACCTTAACGGAGAAGATGCTTCCACGAAACTATTTGCCACGCACCGCGCCCTCCGTGACATCTGTGTCAAAATGATCACCCTGCCTCCTCAATTCATCGTCCCCATTCCCATCAACCAGATGGAGAAGACTACTCTCGGAAAGCTCTCGAGAGCCCGCCTTGTCAGCCTATTCAAACAGGGAGAACTTGCCAAGCACATCGCTCGTGCTGAGGAGCTTCTCAGCGAGGCTCGGGGCTCTTCATTTGTCGCCCCTTCCACAGAGGCCGAGAAAGCTCTTGCAAAGATCTATGCTGGGATCTTTAACCTGAACGAGAATGAAATGTCAGCAAGCGACAACTTCTTCGAGCTCGGTGGTACCTCTATCGATGTCATCAGGTAAGCAATACATGATATTTGATCATGAATGCCTCTCACGTTTCTTTCTATCAGACTCAAGCGCGAGGGTGAAGCACACTTCGGATTGCCCGAAATACCCACTATCCAGATCCTCAAGCACCCCGTCATTTCCAGCTTGGCGAATTACGTCAACACTCTTCTCTCAAAGGACAGTACCGCCGAGGAGTACGACCCCATCGTTCCTTTGCAGCTTACGGGCAACAAGACACCCATCTTCTTCGTTCACCCCGGTGTCGGCGAAGTCCTTATTTTCGTCAACCTCGCCAAGTACTTCCAGAATGAGCGTCCCTTCTATGCTCTTCGTGCTCGTGGCTTCGAGCCAGGTCACCCTTTCTTCACCTCCATGGACGAAATGGTGTCAACCTACGCTGCTGCAGTAAAGAGGACTCAACCTACCGGTCCTTATGCCATCTCTGGTTACAGTTACGGTGGTGTCGTCGCATTCGAGGTCGCTAAGCGCCTCGAGGCTATGGGTGATGAAGTTAAATTCGTCGGTCTCATCAACATCCCCCCTCACATCGCCGACCGCATGCACGAGATCGACTGGACTGGTGGTATGCTCAACCTTTCATACTTCCTTGGCCTTGTGACGAAGCAAGATGCCAATGACCTCGCACCCACCTTGAGACCTCTCTCAAGGAAGGAACAACTGGAGGTTGTCTGGAAGCTATCACCTCCCGAACGTCTCATTGAGCTCCAGCTCACGCAAGAGAAGCTTGACCACTGGGTCGACATTGCTGGCTCCCTAATTGAGTGCGGCAAGGAATACAACCCGGGTGGCTCAGTCTGTGAGTGTTTTTGATTCTGTAGTTTTGTTCTCTCGCTGACGACCGTGTCCAGCCGCTCTTGATGTCTTCTATGCAATCCCCTTGAAGGGAACTAAAGCTGATTGGCTCAACAAGCAACTCAAGCCATGGGACGGCTTCAGCCGTGGCCAAGCCACATACACTGACGTCCCCGGGCAACATTACACTCTCATGGACTTTGACCACGTTCCTCAATTCCAGAAAATCTTCCGCGGCCGTCTTGAATCTCGTGGTATTTAAGACTACAGATGCTCACGGTCGGACCTTAGATGCGGACTGATTTTACTGGGATTTACTGTATATGTGTATATATTACTATATGGTGGACTTTCTTTATACTTGTACAAACGGTAGTAAAATGCCCTAGTGTTGGATCCATAGATTATATGTTGTTATTTTCACATGAATGATACATGAACTGATTGGAGCGATACAATAGGCGATTGGAAATGGTAGACTCAGTGTGATCCCCAGGGGGATTTCATGATGGATCGCGATGATGTATTACGCTCGATTCAGCTATGGTACCAACGCAGTACTGCACTGGACGGGCTGCCGCGATCAATTGAGAACTCATACATGGGATGCAGGGGTAGCAACGACATAATTGTCGCATGTACAGTTAATGATTATGATATCAAATAACTAAACTGTGGACGAAGGAGGACATATTTGAGATCAGCTATAGAAAATGCACCAATAGTCCGGTAACA